TTACTATCGAAATGCATCCTGCTTTTCTCTTAAAGCTCGCAAACATTTGGTGTCTGCAACATTTTTACCCTTGATTGACTATGGTGATGTTTTATATATGCATGCTTCAAACAAATGTCTTCAGCCTTTAAACTCTATCTACCACAGTGCTCTAAGGTTTGTTACAGGCTGTCAAAGACTTACTCACCATTGTGAATTGTATGCCAAAGCTGAGTGGCCTTCTCTGTATGTAAGAAGGTACACCCATTGGATGACTCTGGTCTACAAGGCTCTTCTGGGACTGGTGCCTTCATATGTTCCTTTCTCCATAAGTCTAAAAGTATGCCCTATGCTCAAGTGAAGCTTATCATTTAACTGTTCCCCGGGTTCGAACTGAAATAGGGAAGCGAGCCTTTAGTCATGCCGCCCCCTCATCCTGGAATACTCTTCAGTCTGAACTAAAGATATCTGAGCTCATCCCAAATGACATCGTTTCGCTCTATCCTTTTTAACAAACAACAACAGTCCATTTCTCAATGTATGTGTTTTTAATATATTGAAATGTGATAAAGCTGGAAAACTAAACTGTATTTTTATATTATATCTATTATATATTTATTACTAATATTATTACATTTTTATTTTTTATTTATTTTTATTTTTTATATAAATCGTGTGTTGCAGACCTCTTGGCCAGGTCACCCTTGTAAATGAGATCTTGATCTCAATGGGTTTTTTATCTGGTTAAATAAAGAAACATATATATATATATATATGAATTTGGATATCATTTATATATAATTAGCATATTTCAGATTTGGATGTGGGATGATTTACAAAAACAATGCCCAAACTTTTTCTAATTAAGGGTCAAAAATCAAGTTGATTGAGGGCTGTGGGCCAAAGATAAATACAGTTGAAGTCAGAATTAATATTAATTTCTGTTTAATGGAGAGATAGCTAAATTGTACGTAGTGTATGTGCGAATGTGAGAGTGTTTGGGTGGTTCCTAGTGATGGGTTGCAGCTGGAAGGGCATCCGCTGTGTAAAACATAAGTTGGCGGTGCATTCCGCTGTGGCGACCCCGGATTAATAAAGGGACTAAGCCGACAAGAAAATGTATGAATGTAGATCATGTGTTAGAATTAAATGGTGGCTTAATTCTTACAAATAAATAAGAGGCCCATGCCATCTCATTTCCCACTCAGCTTGCATCGTTGAAATATTTACATAGCAATCAGCAAATCTGGAACCCATACAGGCTATAAAAAAAGATAATTTTAGTTATTTAATCATTATTTAATCAACACCATTGTTGTTTTTAACATATTTCATTTCAACATTAATAAAACCACAAAATGCATTCACATGTGTTCAGGGCTGGACTGGGGCATCGGCCCTGGCATTTTGGGCCAGAGCGGCCCACTACATTCAGTCAATCTATCTATGCACGTCCCATATTTTTATCAACTCATATTTTATAAAACACAAAAGCCATATATATGAAATAAATAAATAAATAAAAACTTTAATCTCAATTTAATTTCTGTATACCAGGGGTTTTCAAAGTGTGAGGCGCGCCTCCCCTGGGGGGTGCCAGAGCATGTCAGGGGAGGCGCGGGAAAAAATATAATATAATAAAAATATAATTATTAAGTTTAATTGTTAGATGTATTTTTTATTATATTTAAACGTTTTAATTAAACAAAGCAAAAAAATAATACGTCAAATATAAGAAAACCTTTTTACCCAGAAGGCCATAGCTGTGAATTCGCTTCTGTTTGGCAAGCCCGCCAATACAGGTATATGTCAGCTAATACAATGGGTCGGTTTCTGAGACCCCCCCCCCCCCCAGTGACGGCAGCTCCTCACAGGCTGCTTTCTAAACCAAAACAAACGGACGGCAGCTCCTCACGGAGACTGCCGTCAAACTGAAAGCAAAAGTAAAATATGTCCGGGCCCGGTGCTCTCTCAGCTTCCTCTGCCCTCGTTCCTCCTTTTATGATCCAGAGCTCCTTCCGTGGGATCCGAGGAAGGTGCGCACCGCAGGTGTATCCACTTACGCGGTGGCCTCACTCCGTTCCCACGGCTCTCGGCCACGCCCCCTCGCCACAAAAGCCTTCAAGTTCAGGGCTTAAACCCAAAAGACGATCAGTATTTGAGTTTAGGATTTACGTGGACAGGACCAGCTGATGAACCACGACCTTTATGTGTGGTTTGTCAAAATATTTTGGCTAATGCCAGCATGAGACCTGCAAAACTTAGACTGTTTTGACTGGGATGGACAGTTCTTGGATCTGTTCTATTCATATTGAACCATCATCCTAGTTTTAAAAAATGTTATATTAAAATACTTGTTATTACTCTATAAATAATTGCACTTTCATGCAAATGATGATAAAAGTGAGTTAACAGTCTGACATCTGTCTGTGTCTTTATATATACTGTATATATATAAAGTATATATATATATATATATATATATATATATATATATATATATATATATATATATATATATATATATATATATATGTGTGTGTGTGTGTGTGTGTGTGTGTGTGTGTGTGTTTGTGTGCGTGTGTGTGTGCGTGCGTGCGTGTTTGGGAGGAGGGGGGCGCCATTGGATAAGTTGTGTCAAAAGGGAGGCCCACTGTCTTAGACTTTGAAAAACCCTGCTGTATACTGTCCATAAAGATATTTGTTGAGTTCTAAAAAATACACTATTCATTCATTTATTTTTCTTTGCCTTCGTCCTTTATTCATCAGGGGTTGGCGCAGCGGAATGAACTGCCAACTATTCCGGCATGTTTTATGCAGCAGATGCCTTTCCAGCCACAACCCAATATTGGAAATCACCCATACACACTCAATCACACACACACTCATACACTACAACCAATTTAGCTTATTCAACACACTATTCACTCAGCCTATATTTCAATAATAAACAAAAACTGCCTGCTAATGCATGGGTAAATCTTCATAGGGAACAGTGTACTTTATAACCTCATTCACCTCATCCTGCTTGCTGTTTCACTAAACAATGAAAACATAATATAAGCCAAATTTGTTTCATTTTGATGTTATGATTAACAGACACCAAACAGCCTCGTGTAGCTATATGTTTATATAAGCGTCATCTTCACTCTGTATATTTATAATACAAAACAGGGCTTAAATATAACCGCCTCCTTTCATTTTCATTGAAAAGACTGAAATTTACCCCGTCTCTTTTGCAGAATATCAGTTTTAATAATCAATAACGGCCATTATAACTGTATAATGTACAACTAATTTATACGATAAAGGCCAGCAATCAGTCAATGTGCAGAATCACATAAATTAATATATTCTGCTTAACATACACTGATGTACTTGCTCTTTTGGGGATGTGCTTTCTTGTTCCCCTTTGCTATCTATTCCAGTGCACTTGATTTCACATTCATAAGAGAATAGATGAGAAATTACAAGCTTGATTGCATTTACTGTGGAGCCCTGTCATAATGAATCAAGTCAAAACACACAAACACACACACAAATCCTGCATCCAGACAGATGCATTTACTTTCACCTGTATGTTTTGGCACACAAATAAACACATGGGAAGGTGATTTTTGAGTATCAGATCGTCAAGAGACTTTAAAATGTGTATGTAATTACTGTGATTAACCAGCCAGAACTAATTAGTCTCTGATCAAAACATTGCCTTGTTTGTAAAGTTTAGTTTAGACAGCCTCCTAGGGAACCTATTGAGCGTAATGTTCTGAAATAATTATGGTAATAGATAACAAGCTTGTAGTTTAGTGGACTTGGTATACCCACTTGGACTTGGTAGTATACAACTACTTTATGTATTTATATAATAGATTATAGTTTTCACATGACATCATTAATTACAGGTGAATAGAAATCGCTATCAGAACATCAAAATATTTCTGTTTTATGTTGTTTATAATTGTTTAAATCTGCCAAAATATGAAATGACGAACAGCTTTTATAGACTTCCAAATGTTTTTGCTAATAAAAGGGAGACAGTTCAAGAAACTGGCTGAAAAACGGATGAAAAGGCGGCATGTAATAAACATTTTTTCAGTATATCCATCTGTACAAACTTTTTTAAACGCGATAATTTATTTGACAGCACCAATAAAGATAATATAAAGGCCTAGCTATGTGCATGAATATGTTAATTTGTTATATAGATATCCAACGCGATCTCATTCGTACAAGTCAATAGGTAAGCAAAATAATCTTGTTTTTCGATTTGTGATAAGATTATTTTGCTGACTCCATTGGCAGATTCTTTTGCTTGATTTAATGAAAAACTCACTTCATTTTGGCATTTTATTTCTTAAAACAAGACAATGTTTTGCTTGTCTAGAAAATGCTTCTTGATTTAAGAACTTTTAGATATTTGGACTAGAAACAAGACAAAAAATTGAAGTAAAAAAAGCATTTTTGCGGTGTGAACAGTCAATATTGCTATAAAAAAAAAAAAATAAAAAAAAAGTATACTTATTACTTAATATCCTTAAATTTAAGCCAATGCTTTGACCCAAATATACGGCCCATGAAAGACACAAAAATCCTCATTTTAATTTCTCTTATGGGTTCCAGAAATCTGAGATCTGTAACAGTGAGTGGCGTTTTGTCACTTTCCAGAACCTTCTGTTTCACAGAACAGTGTTGGTGGAAGAATCTGGAATGACAAAATTCAATGGGTTGCCAAAACTCATCTCTTCCATGAGCACTAAGGCCTGTAACCCCTCCCCATGTTATAGTTTGTTGCTAAATAAAAGCTGTCTAAAACTATATTTTAAAACACATCCTTATACTTGTTTGGTTTCTGTTTTTAAAATGATTTTGGAAAGTAATGCATATTGCAAAATGTAAAAGCACAACCAAGATGACCCTGACAGGAAACAAATTAAAATCCCAATAGTGCAAAGTCTCGTGTGATAAAACAAGTTGTATTTCAGTCTCACAGGATCTAGTCACATCTACTTAAACACCCCTTTATCAGCTTTAATGTTCTCTTGTCGACTAAAGGCGCGTTACAATGGTCACCTTTAACCTAACCATTCCACTCTCTGTCGACTTTTCAAATCCTGAAGATTACTTGATTTTTATTTTCCATATCCTGTTTGCTACAGCTTCGGCTCTCCTGGCAGGGTCAGTGGTCATCGGCATCATGAGCAGTAAAGCCCTGCGCTCCCAAAACCGCTTCATCTTCATGTTAAACACCAGCATCAGTGACACTTTAACCGGCTGCTCTGTCTTCTACCTCGGCCTGTTTGACGTCCAAGAAGGCTATCCGTCCCGAAACGGCAGTTTTTACATTTTGCCGTCATTTCTAGGGGTGAACGTGCTGACATTTGTATTTGCACAGTTTGATAGATACCTGGCTGTTTGTCATCCGTTCTTCTACAGCCGGTACATTACGCGCGGGTCTGTGATCTGCGTCTGCGCGTTCTGCTGGATTTATACATATTTAATTGTAACTGTTCAGGGAGTCATCCCAGTCGCGCTTGCCGCTCAAATGAACGCGTATTTGGTCATATTTCTGCAGGTGATCGTAGCTGTTAAAGTTTTAATGACCATCAAATTGTACATGATCGCAAGGAATCAGCTCAAACGCGAAGCGCCAAGCAGCGACAAGGACAGCAAGAAAGAGTCGCTGCGCATTATCGTGTTTGTGGTCATTTGTTTTCTCATTTTATGGGGTCCGTCCTTTGTTAACATTTCCGTGAGATTTGTGACCAGGAATGGACTGAAGTTCAGAAATGAAGCCACGAATCTATTCGCGATCATGGCGCGGTTTAACGCGCTCAGCACGCCCGCGCTCTACATCTGGGGCAGTCCGGCGTTGCGCGCGGCCGTCTGGAGCTCCGTGTGGAGTAAAATATTCAGAACAACGACAAGGTTTATATCCGACTCTTATTGTGTAATAAATGCTTAGCACTATTTTAAAACAAACTGTAATACTTCCAAAACTTCCCACATGAAAAAAATATACTAACATTTACCTTATGTAAAGTATCCATGGGCATTTGAAAGGTCATAAAACATTAATATTATTAATATATACTGTGTTTCAACCATACTGGAGTGTAGCTATTGTACTATGTATTATGGTACAACGCTTTGTTAATGAATGCAACAGCATACTGTCCTTTTAACTAAGTAAAATATACAATGTCACCAACAGATTCAAGTTTGTCTTGGTTCAAAAGCACTTTAGTATTTACTAAAAAATCCTCTATATTTAAATATAGTTTAGTTTCTGTCAGTATACCAACTTTAGAATCTAAAATATATTATTATTTTCCTGAAAAGTTAAATGTGAATTTAAAAACAGAAGTTATATTCTAAAATCCAAAAACCTGTGACTACCAATAGAATGTTTTAATTTTAAGTGCTTTTAAACAGTGTTTCAGTGTAAGACTTTTAATCCAGCATTAGGCTACCAATCAACCAAACATGATCACATCTGTAGACATATATATTTTTTATGTTTTGTCAATGTTATTCTAAAAACATATGTCAATGTCTTTTTTTTACACAGGGTGGATTCTGGCATTGTGAAGCCCAACAATGAAAACAGAATTTTCAGCATTACGTGGAGCACCAGACAAACATGAACACTGCAGACTCCTCTAGCTGCTGAAACATTACATTTAAGTCATTAGCTAAAAAAGAAATCAGGTTTTACTCTGACAGGCCAGTTGATAGAATGCCAAAATGATTTTTGATGGATCTCAGAATCAAGGTTGGACTTGTTTACATGTATTTAACGGCTTATTTTTACAGTTTGTCTTGGCCTAAAATATTTTAATTAGACTTTCTCACCATTTTATTTAGTTTTTATGGTTTTGATAAAAAAACACACACACATAACTTCACATATAAAAACCAAAAGAAAGCATGAAATGTAGGCCTACCTGTATAGTTGACATGTCATTGTGTTTCTCACATTATTTTTTAGGTTACATTTATACACCATATCGTGAGGTTACTTTATTTGGTACCTCATAAAATGCCTTTTCTGTAAATAGTCATGCAAGCGGCTAAGAGACGCAATTTTGAATTAAAAAAAAATAATGTTTAACAAATAATCTTTTTAAATTCTTTTTTAAATACATACAAACCTGTATTGCTAAGATAATCATTATATATTGTTTTGAAAATGGATTTCAGGGCCTAATTCACTGTTTCCAAATGTATAACATCTTTGTTCATATTTATTTTTACAAAGATATGCTATCTAATAATAAAGGTCATCACATTGAGTTTCAACATCCAAATGCAATATAATTACTCTGTATTTGCATAATTTACAAGTTAGTCATGTATATTTGTATATAATACAGTGACTAAACTGAAAGTTTTTTATTGTTGTTGTTTTAGGCAAACAAAACCATAATCCTAAACTTTATCGGATTGTTTTAATAAAACTTTTAAAAATATATTCCCATTTATAAAGATACAAACTTTTGACGATTTGGATAACATAGCAGCAGATTAAAGCCCATTTCAAAACTCAAAATGTTTAACTGTTTTGAAAGGAATTGGTGTGAGCTGTGAGAACAGCTGAAACCGGTCTGAGAATGAAGCTTTATAACACTGAGACCCTAAAAAAGGGTGAGCTCAAAACCTGCATTATTATTTTTTTATGGTATTTTGGCTTATATTAACAGACAATTGTTTTTGTTGGACAAGGTTTAATTTAAAAGTTGTTGTTAGTAAGACTAAGTTGAGATTACTAATTTATTAAATATGACTAGTTTATTAATTTACTAATTTAAAAAATGTAAGGTCCAAGACCTCAAAAAAACTCCTTTCAGTGCTACAACTCCAGCAGAAATCTGAGATCTGTACCAGTGAGTGGCGTTGTCACTTTCCAGAACCTTTTATTTCACAGTTCAGTGTTGGTGGAAGATATAGTGACTATATAGTGACTAGTTCTGAATCTGGAATGCAGAATCCTTAACAAAATTCATGGAGTTGCCAAAACTCACCTCCTCCATGAGCACTAAACAATGCCTAACATTTTTCTTAACTTCTCCCATTCCAATGTTACAGTTTGTAGCTCACTAGACGCCATCTAAAACTATGGTTTCAAACATTCCCATGCTCGTTTAGTTTTTTTAAGTCACTTTGTAAAACTGTTTTCTTAAAGTAATGCATATTGCAAAAAAGCGCACACATAAGATCCTGACAGGAAACAAATAGAAATCCCTTTAGTGCAAACTAGTCTCATGTGATAAAACAAGTTGTATTTCAGTCTCACAGGATCGAGTCTCATCTACTTAAACACCCCATAATTAGCGTGCACTAGTGTCCTCGATCTTGTCTATTGAAGGCGCGTTACAATGGTCACCTTTAACCTAACCATTCCACTCTCTGTTGACTTTTCAAATCCTGAAGATTACTTGATTTTTATTTTCCATATCCTGTTTGCTACAGCTTCGGCTCTCCTGGCAGGGTCAGTGGTCATCGGCATCATGAGCAGTAAAGCCCTGCGCTCCCAAAACCGCTTCATCTTCATGTTAAACACCAGCATCAGTGACACTTTAACCGGCTGCTCTGTCTTCTACCTCGGCCTGTTTGACGTCCAAGAAGGCTATCCGTCCCGAAACGGCACTTACTATATTTTACCGTCATTTCTAGGGGTGAACGTGCTGACATTTGTGTTTGCACAGTTCGATAGATACCTGGCTGTTTGTCATCCGTTCTTCTACAGCCGGTACATTACGCGCGGGTCTGTGATCTGCGTCTGCGCGTTCTGCTGGATTTATACATATTTAATTGTAACTGTTCAGGGAGTCATCCCAGTCGCGCTTGCCGCTCAAATGAACGCGTATTTGGTCATATTTCTGCAGGTGATCGTAGCTGTTAAAGTTTTAATGACCATCAAATTGTACATGATCGCAAGGAATCAGCTCAAACGCGAAGCGCCAAGCAGCGACAAGGACAGCAAGAAAGAGTCGCTGCGCATTATCGTGTTTGTGGTCATTTGTTTTCTCATTTTATGGGGTCCGTCCTTTGTTAACATTTCCGTGAGATTTGTGACCAGGAATGGACTGAAGTTCAGAAATGAAGCCACGAATCTATTCGCGATCATGGCGCGGTTTAACGCGCTCAGCACGCCCGCGCTCTACATCTGGGGCAGTCCGGCGTTGCGCGCGGCCGTCTGGAGCTCCGTGTGGAGTAAAATATTCAGAACAACGACAAGGTTTATATCCGACTCTTATTGTGTAATAAATGCTTAGCACTATTTTAAAACAAACTGTAATACTTCCAAAACTTCCCACATGAAAAAATATACTAACATTTACCTTATGTAAAGTATCCATGGGCATTTGAAAGGTCATAAAACATTAATATTATTAATATATACTGTGTTTCAACCATACTGGAGTGTAGCTATTGTACTATGTATTATGGTACAACGCTTTGTTAATGAATGCAACAGCATACTGTCCTTTTAACTAAGTAAAATATACAATGTCACCAACAGATTCAAGTTTGTCTTGGTTCAAAAGCACTTTAGTATTTACTAAAAAATCCTCTATATTTAAATATAGTTTAGTTTCTGTCAGTATACCAACTTTAGAATCTAAAATATATTATTATTTTCCTGAAAAGTTAAATGTGAATTTAAAAACAGAAGTTATATTCTAAAATCCAAAAACCTGTGACTACCAATAGAATGTTTTAATTTTAAGTGCTTTTAAACAGTGTTTCAGTGTAAGACTTTTAATCCAGCATTAGGCTACCAATCAACCAAACATGATCACATCTGTAGACATATATATTTTTTATGTTTTGTCAATGTTATTCTAAAAACATATGTCAATGTCTTTTTTTTACACAGGGTGGATTCTGGCATTGTGAAGCCCAACAATGAAAACAGAATTTTCAGCATTACGTGGAGCACCAGACAAACATGAACACTGCAGACTCCTCTAGCTGCTGAAACATTACATTTAAGTCATTAGCTAAAAAAGAAATCAGGTTTTACTCTGACAGGCCAGTTGATAGAATGCCAAAATGATTTTTGATGGATCTCAGAATCAAGGTTGGACTTGTTTACATGTATTTAACGGCTTATTTTTACAGTTTGTCTTGGCCTAAAATATTTTAATTAGACTTTCTCACCATTTTATTTAGTTTTTATGGTTTTGATAAAAAAACACACACACATAACTTCACATATAAAAACCAAAAGAAAGCATGAAATGTAGGCCTACCTGTATAGTTGACATGTCATTGTGTTTCTCACATTATTTTTTAGGTTACATTTATACACCATATCGTGAGGTTACTTTATTTGGTACCTCATAAAATGCCTTTTCTGTAAATAGTCATGCAAGCGGCTAAGAGACGCAATTTTGAATTAAAAAAAAATAATGTTTAACAAATAATCTTTTTAAATTCTTTTTTAAATACATACAAACCTGTATTGCTAAGATAATCATTATATATTGTTTTGAAAATGGATTTCAGGGCCTAATTCACTGTTTCCAAATGTATAACATCTTTGTTCATATTTATTTTTACAAAGATATGCTATCTAATAATAAAGGTCATCACATTGAGTTTCAACATCCAAATGCAATATAATTACTCTGTATTTGCATAATTTACAAGTTAGTCATGTATATTTGTATATAATACAGTGACTAAACTGAAAGTTTTTTATTGTTGTTGTTTTAGGCAAACAAAACCATAATCCTAAACTTTATCGGATTGTTTTAATAAAACTTTTAAAAATATATTCCCATTTATAAAGATACAAACTTTTGACGATTTGGATAACATAGCAGCAGATTAAAGCCCATTTCAAAACTCAAAATGTTTAACTGTTTTGAAAGGAATTGGTGTGAGCTGTGAGAACAGCTGAAACCGGTCTGAGAATGAAGCTTTATAACACTGAGACCCTAAAAAAGGGTGAGCTCAAAACCTGCATTATTATTTTTTTATGGTATTTTGGCTTATATTAACAGACAATTGTTTTTGTTGGACAAGGTTTAATTTAAAAGTTGTTGTTAGTAAGACTAAGTTGAGATTACTAATTTATTAAATATGACTAGTTTATTAATTTACTAATTTAAAAAATGTAAGGTCCAAGACCTCAAAAAAACTCCTTTCAGTGCTACAACTCCAGCAGAAATCTGAGATCTGTACCAGTGAGTGGCGTTGTCACTTTCCAGAACCTTTTATTTCACAGTTCAGTGTTGGTGGAAGATATAGTGACTATATAGTGACTAGTTCTGAATCTGGAATGCAGAATCCTTAACAAAATTCATGGAGTTGCCAAAACTCACCTCCTCCATGAGCACTAAACAATGCCTAACATTTTTCTTAACTTCTCCCATTCCAATGTTACAGTTTGTAGCCCACTAGACGCCATCTAAAACTATGGTTTCAAACATTCCCATGCTCGTTTAGTTTTTTTAAGTCACTTTGTAAAACTGTTTTCTTAAAGTAATGCATATTGCAAAAAAGCGCACACATAAGATCCTGACAGGAAACAAATAGAAATCCCTTTAGTGCAAACTAGTCTCATGTGATAAAACAAGTTGTATTTCAGTCTCACAGGATCGAGTCTCATCTACTTAAACACCCCATAATTAGCGTGCACTAGTGTCCTCGATCTTGTCTATTGAAGGCGCGTTACAATGGTCACCTTTAACCTAACCATTCCACTCTCTGTTGACTTTTCAAATCCTGAAGATTACTTGATTTTTATTTTCCATATCCTGTTTGCTACAGCTTCGGCTCTCCTGGCAGGGTCAGTGGTCATCGGCATCATGAGCAGTAAAGCCCTGCGCTCCCAAAACCGCTTCATCTTCATGTTAAACACCAGCATCAGTGACACTTTAACCGGCTGCTCTGTCTTCTACCTCGGCCTGTTTGACGTCCAAGAAGGCTATCCGTCCCGAAACGGCACTTACTATATTTTACCGTCATTTCTAGGGGTGAACGTGCTGACATTTGTGTTTGCACAGTTCGATAGATACCTGGCTGTTTGTCATCCGTTCTTCTACAGCCGGTACATTACGCGCGGGTCTGTGATCTGCGTCTGCGCGTTCTGCTGGATTTATACATATTTAATTGTAACTGTTCAGAGTGTTATTCCAGTCGCGTTTGCCGCTCAAATGAACGCGTATGGGGTTATAGTCCTGCAAGTGATCGTGGCGGTCAAAGTTTTAATGACCATCAAATTGTACATGATCGCGAGGAATCAACTCAAACGCGAAGCGCCAAGCAGCGACAAGGACAGCAAGAAAGAGTCGCTGCGCATTATCGTGTTTGTGGTCATTTGTTTTCTCATTTTATGGGGTCCGTCCTTTGTTAACATTTCCGTGAGATTTGTGACCAGGAATGGACTGAAGTTCAGAAATGAAGCCACGAATCTATTCGCGATCATGGCGCGGTTTAACGCGCTCAGCACGCCCGCGCTCTACATCTGGGGCAGTCCAGCGTTGCGCGCGGCCGTCTGGAGCTCCGTGTGGAGTAAAATATTCAGAACAACGACAAGGTTTATATCCGACTCTTATTGTGTATTAAATGCTTAGCAATATTTTAAAACAAACTGTAATACTTCCAAAACTTCCCACATGAAAATAATCTAGTAACATTTACCTTATGTAAAGTGTCCTTGGGCATTTAAAGGTAATAAAACATTAATATAATATTAATAATACGTAGCCTATTATTATTATTATTATTAAATACTGTTGTGTTTTTGAACCATACTGAAGTAAAGCTATTATCCAGTGTATTATGGTTGTTTTGTCGGACAAAGTTTATGTTCCACTGTTTTTGTGTTGTGTTAAATGTTTGAAGAGTTTAGATGCAAAAACCTCTAATTGCTGTCTGAAATTTTCTTCTAAAATGAGCATTTTTATCAGGCTCCTGAATGGAAATTCAGTAATATCATTTTTTTTGGCAAATAACAATTTATTTTATGGTATTTAAAGTGAAATAACTCAACATAAACAAATGAGGCTGAGACAAAAAAAAAGTCATTTCAATGGATACGGCACTTGGAGGTTTTTGCATCTGAACTCTTCATTTATTAAAATATTTTTTTATTAAAATAAATTATGTAATACTTCAAAAACTTCCCACATAAAAAATATTTTTTATGTTAAAAAAATTTACCTTATGTAAAATGTCCTTTGGGATTTGAAAGGCAATGAAACATTATTATACTAATATATATATATATATATAGATAGATAGATAGATATATATAGGCCTACACAGTATTGGGTTTTTAAAAATATCACTATAGTTAAGTACCACAGCAAATATACAATATCTCTTAACAGATTTAAGTTTATATCATGGTTAAAAAGCACTTTAGTATTTACTAACAAAAAAAACTCTATATTTTTAAATGTAGGTTAGGTTCTGTCAGCATATATACCAGCCTACCTACTTTAGAATCTAAAGTTAAATGTGTTTAAAAATCAGAAACTAAAATCCAAAAACTTAAGAACACCAATAAAACACTTCACTTTTAATTTTTTTTAGCGTTTCAATGTATTCCTTTTTCAAATCCAGCAATATTACCAATGAACCAAACATAAAGCATCTGCAGTCACAGTTCACTTCATGTGTGTTGTTTCTGTATGTTTCAGGGTGGAAGTGAAGCCCAGCAAAGGAGACAGAGTTCTCAGCATTACGCGGAGCACCAGAGAAACATGAACACTGCAGACTCCTCTGCTGCTGAAGCATTGATCCGAGCTATCTCAGTAGAGTAGAAAAACAATCAATCAGGTTTGACTCTGACAGGCTTGTTGACAGAATGCCAAAGTGGTTTTTATTATGTCTATGCATTATTGATAAATCTCTGAATCAAGGTCGGACTTGCTTACATGTTTTTAAGTGATTTATTTTTATTTAAAGCTTGTGTTGGCCTAAAAGACTTGAATACGTTCTCTCTCTCCACATTACGTTGTATTTGTTTCCGGGTTTCGATGAAAAACATCCAGACCTCTCTTAACTTCACATATGAAACCAAAAGAACATGAAACTCACCTGTGGTTGACGCGTCACTGTGTTTCTCACACCATTTGTCATTTTTAGGTTCGATTTACACACCATGTCGTGTGGTTGTCTGTACCTCATACCTTCGCGCCTTTTTTCCCTAATAGTCGATGCAAGCTGCTGAAGCAAAGCGCGCGATTTTGAATGAAAAAATAACAATGTTGGCAAACTAATCTTAAAAAAAAAAAAAAAAAAAAAACTAGTTTTCAAATACACTTATACAAACCTCAAAGTATTTACTAAATCTAAAATTTTTTGCTGTTGCAAATTTAGAAAAATTGGCGAGTAATTTGCTGACTAATTCAGTTCTTTAATGTTTTTGAATGTCTAACATATTTTGCCGATATATATATATATATATATATATATATATATATATATATATATATATATATATATATATATATATATATAAATCTAGATATTTATCTAATAATAGAGGCCATGACTTTCAGTTTCGACACTCTTAACCAATACATTTAGTCTGCACTTGCATAATTTACAAGTACTCACTTAAAATAGTTGGGTTAATAATAACCTAACAAGTAACCCTTTAAAGGGTTGTTTTGGCACCGAGGTGCTGTTGGGTTATTTTTTATTGGGTTATTTGTTTACTCAACAGTTTGGGTTACACAAATAACTAACTTGTTAGGTTATTTTGCCAAAAAAATGGCTTAACCACTAATATCTCAAATGTGTGTATCATTTCCTCTAAAACAAAAACTGTAAAAATGAACACGGAGGTAGAGAGAGCTTTTATCCGTATATAGATCAGCTATGAAGCAAATTCATCAAATTACAAGTGCTGGTGAAACTAATATAAAAAAACACGACACTGAGAGGTAATTTGATTTAAAAAATTACAATATTATTTTGTGAGCTAAAATAAACTTTAAAACGCAGAAACAACATTACATACACATATTAATACAGCTGTTCTGTCAGTTAAATCATTTGACTGTTCAAATGTAAGATTTTTGAGCCAACTGGTTGAGTTATTATTAAATAAATAACCCAACAAAGGCTAAAAATATCCCAACAAAGCATCAAAAATTAAACTAAACTGGTTGAGTTAATAAATAACCCATTAAAGGTTCAAAATAACCCAACAAAGCGCCAAACATTTTTTACTCAACTATTGGGTTAAATAAAAAACTCAACGTTTTTTAGAGTGTAGTCATGTCTGTATTTGTTTACACTACCTGACAAGTCTCGTCCAAGTTTTAGGAACAACACACAATAACTTGACTACTAGTTGATCATTTGGTATCAGAAGTGGCTTATATGAAAGGCAAAGGCCTCTAGATTAAGCTTATTCTACCAAAATAAAATATGATCATGCCTTATTAATTATATAGTAAAGGACAGTAAGGTCTGACTTTTCTTAGACTAAAGTCTTGTCACTGAATAGAAATAATGTCCAGTATAGAATATAAAGTCCTGCTGCAGTGGAGACAGAATGAATATTGTGTCTGACTCCATCATGAGCTTGGAGGACTGCATCCATACATCTCTGACATGACTCAAATCACTGATTAATAAAGTCATCTGCAATGGCAAAGAAAGAGTTCATCAAGATTCTTTGCAATCATATTCAATGTCTCCATCTTACCCCAGACATGCTCAATACTGTTAATATCTGGTGACTGGGCTGGCCAATCCTGGAGCACCTTGACCTTCTTTGCTTTCAGGAACTTTGATGTGGAGGCTAAAGTATAAGAAGCGCTATCCTGCTGGAGAATTGTCCCACTCCTGTGGTTTGTAATGTAATGGGCAGCACAAATGTCTTGATACCTCAGGCTGTTTATGTTGCAGATCTCTCGCACACCTCCATACTGAATGTAAGCCCAAACCATGATTTCTCCCTCACCAAACTTGATTGATTTGTGTGAGAATCTTGGCTCCATGCGGGTTGCAGTAGGTCTTCTGCAGTATTTGTGATGATTGTGATGGAGCTCAACAGATGATTCATCTGAAAAAATCCATCTTCTGCCACTTTTCCAAATGATCAACTGGAAGTCAAGTTATTATCTGTTGCTCTTACAGCTAGGAACGACAGCAAGACTGTGTCAGGTGGTGTATATTAGTAGTAGTAACTATAAACTGAAAGTTATTTTAGTTGTAGTTTCAGACAAACAGAACCATAAGACACTATGTACATCCTAAACTTTATTGGACTGTTTTAATAAAACTTTTTAAAAAATATTCTCAGTTATAAAGATGACGACTAAATACTGTAACTGAAGAGGTTAACAGCATCCTATCAGTGTTTATTCCAAAAAACGGAAACTGAAAGATTAAAAATAACGAACTGAATATCACATCCACATACATGGAAAAACGAAATGGGAAGTAACTCAAAACTTTTGACGATTTGGATAACATAGCAGCAGGTTAAAGCCCATTTTAAAACTCAAAATGTTGAACTGGATTGAAAGGAGTCCGTGTGAGCTGTGAGAACAGCTGAAACCGGTTGGAGAATGAAGCTTTAGAACACTGAGACCCTAAAAATAAAAAACAGTGAACTCAAAACCTCTATTCAGAGTAAAACCAAACAAAGTCGTCAAACCGCAGGTTTTATGAAACCATTCAAATCTCTCATCATCGCCAGCGGCCCACAAGTTCAAACTCCAAGCCCGAGTTGATGGATGAGAGGCGTTTAAACCAAAGTGGTGTTGAAATTGTAAATGAAGCTCTTGCTGCATTAGAGTTCAGTCACGGTAAATAGGGATGAAGACGCAGCCGACCAGTAATCATCTCCAGTCCGCCGTCAGAACGCAAGAAACAAAAGATAGACCATGAAGATGAAGGTAAAACAGTAGATGCAGAGTCTCACTCTCCCTTTGTGACCAAATCTTCAATATAGGCGTCCAGCTCATCGTCACTGCTGATCTCAATGTCCTGCAGAACAAAATAAACACATGAGAAGAGAATCCTGAAAAATCTCCAAATCAAGACAATTATAATCAGATCATTTAATTATTTAGAAATATTGTCCACTATATATTATGTGGCCTTAACTAATATGTACTCATACTGAAATTTGTTGAAATAATCATGTTACAATTTACTTGATTCAATAAAAAACATTGCAAGAATCAGGTGCTTTGTTTCCAGTGAGGACTTAGAGAAACTTGTTCATGCTTTTATCAGCAGCAGGGCGGATTACTGTAAAGCCTAGTTCACACTACAGGATTTTAAACGTCAGCAGATCGCTGTGCCCTTCACACTACATGACTTGACTTTGTGTCTTTTAATCTCTGGTGTTCACACTACACAACACTCTCTAAATGATCCACAAGAGGGGGGTCACACACTACATAATCTGACAACTCATTCCCCATCAGCTCATTCAAGCTACCAAACCACAGCCAATGAAATTTTGAGGGAAGAGTCGTCAGAAAAAGCTGAACACTATTGGCTGCTTGTGTGCTGATGACATCAATGACAGCGTTTCAATCTTTGGAGAAAGCATTTAAAAACATCGTCAAATCAGCTGATTCATCAGCGGATTAATCACTCATCTACAAGGTTCCAGTGGATAGATACACAGAGAGTTTTTAATTTTTGTAATTGTATAACTCTTTGAAATAAAACTAACAAATAACACCCTGCCGTTTTCTAACTATCAGTGTATTTCTTTCTGACATTGTTATTTTTTTTTATTACAAAACAGTAAAGAACTGAGCATTTCTGTCTTAAATTACCATATTGGTCAAAATGACTGCATGCATGTCTGATACTTTTCACTGTGACTTTAAATATGTGTGCATTTTTTTGCCTGACAACTTCCTGCTAACATAAACAAAACTTTCTGATGGCAAAAACATCAATTTACTTCAGATATCTTTCAAAACAGCATATTCTGTGATGTGAAATAGCTCCTGTTTGAAAGTGAAAATGAAAGCCAAGACCTTTGCAGACCTGACCTTTCTAGTATCTTAACTACATATTTATAGGCTGTATTACCAAAATAAGATTATATTTTTAGGGTAATAGTGTCATTAAATATAATGCCAGACATTCAAAGCTTAATTTTAATATCTCAATAACAGCTTTGAATGTAAATATGTTGTGAAAATATGGTGTTTTATATAAGAACGGTCAGAATGAGCAGTATGGTAATTCTTATAGCTACAGAATTCTAGTTCCACTGTTAATATAGCCTACTCTCATGTCTGTGCTAACGCAGAATGAAGCGAGTGCACTGATGCCCATTCTGACCAATCACAGATGTTTCTGCTGAGCTCCTGAACCAACAGGCATTCAGCTCATGCTGATATGCTCTCTCATTGGCTGCAGCTCGTCACTACATCTGACCACACGTGGGCTTGAGTCGGCCGACTGCTCTGGAATATTTAGCATGCTGAATGTTGGATTTCTGACTGCGAGGTGTCGGCGACGCATCAGCGAGCCTCGTTGTTGCGTTGTTCAGTAGTTCACACTGCACACTTCTTCCCGATCACAGCCCGATCTGTCGGCGAGCTCGTTAACTTCCAAATCGGGCTCAAATCAGGCTTAAAATCCTTTAGTGTGATCTAGGCTTAATGGACTCCTCACTGGCCTTCCCAAAAAGGCAGTCAGACAGTTGCAGCTTATCCAAAACGCTGCGGCCAGGATTCTGACCAGAACCAGGAAATCAGAGCACATCCCACCTGTCCTCAGGTCTCTACACTGGCTCCCAGTTACATTCAGAAAAGAGTTTAAAGTATTATTACTTGTCTATAAGATGACACTCCTGCTCTAAAACAATTGAAAAAAACGAGTGCACTTCCGCATTGCAGAATAAGGTCAATAATAACGGATAATTCCAGTGTTTTTCAGACCTCCTGGACTTTCTGCAGGAGAGCGACGATGTTGGTTCTGAGTTTGCGGAGTTTCTCTTCTGACTCCCGGAGTTTGGTTTCTGCTCCGCTGCTTTTCTCCTCCACGGCTCGAGCTCTGGATTCTGCCCGAGTCTGATAGGAATTACACAGACTCTGCAGTCCGGCCTCGTACTGCTGGAAATACTCCTTCTGCAATGCACAAGACACTACAGTTATTCCTGATTTAATATAAATATCCCCTCAAGTCTCCAATGGTGGTCTGTACTCACGATGGGAAAGGCCACAAGGTCCTCAGCACTCATAGTGTTCACAGAATCCTTGGGGATTCGAAAGTCCGGAGGGAAAAAATAGCGTAGCAACGTCCTGCGGCAAATAAAACAGGAATGTAATAGGAAATTTGTTAATAACTCAAAAAAAAAATCTGAATTTAGGAAAGATGCCTAAAGTATGGGTGGGCAAAGCAAGGCTTCATGAAACACTGACGCCCTATTCACACGGTGCATCAGCATCAACGCTTTCCATTCACCTTGAATGGGCGATGTCAGGCGTTGCCGAACGGCGCCGTTTCAGAGGCGTTGCTGGCTGCAGAAGTTGGAACTAGCTCAACTTTTCAAGCGCCCACGGAAGCGTCAGCCAATCAGATCGCTGTATGCAAATACACCAGCTTGACAGTGGCCTGCTATGACGATCGCGTTAGCCCCAACAGCCAAGCGTTGATGTTGAAGTCCTATGTGAATGGGGCGTTAAACAGTCGAAGCTTTAAAATAGAGATCTGCGAGGGACTAAATTTTAAATCCCGCTCCCGCCCGCACCCGCCAGGTTTTAGCCCGAACCCAACCGCTCCTGCTTATATTAAGAATTTGTTGTCCCGCTGCCCAACCCGCCCCGTTTTCAGCCTGCCGCGCCCGATCTCGCTAAAGAGCGGGGGAGAACAAAACCGAAAATCCCCCAGCTATACAGTCCAGACAGCCAAGCTGTCTGTATAAACACACACACACACAAGCCCCAAGCAGACACACAGGCGTTTGCTGTCATATCAACTCAAAGGGTTGTAATACCATGTATCAAGTACCAATGTAATACCAAAAGGTTTTATATAAAGGTATATAAATACTGAGTCGCGCCAGCTCCGGGCCGCAGCGCACATTAGTCTCGGGCCGGTTCCTGCGCGATTGATTCGGGCCGGAATCGGACAGTGAGTTCACAAGCATCCGGCCGAGTAAGGCAAGTTTAGCCGGAATCTAGCCGGAACTGGCCTGAGTGTATTTTGCTATCTGGGAAAGCTCTCTCTCTCGCGCACTAACATACACACACACAAGCACCAAGTACACACACAGGCAAAGCTCTCTCTCTCTCTCTCCCTCATTCGCATAGCAATATCCGCGATATTGCTAGACAGCCCGCTCCCGTCCCAAATTAAACCCGTTACCGACCGCTCCCGCGATTTATTCGGAAATTTATTCTGCCGCAGAAATCTGGTAGGGTCCCGCGGGATTCTGCGGGAATGCAGACCTCTACTTTAAAACATTTCAAAGTGCCTCTCTACAGTGACACCTAGTGGTCATTATTTAGTATGTATTAGTGATGCGCGGAGTGGCTGAAATGGCACACCCAAATCCGTGGCTTCATACTAATCATCCACATATTCAATCATCCACGCTCTGTAGAATCTGGGATTTGTTATAACCTGTGTGTACTTTAAATGAAATCAATACTATATTCTAAAGTGTTTTGTTTTCCTATTATTTGTTTTACATTGATAAGTTCAGTTATGGTTATATAATCAATTTTAAATCTTGGTTATTCATTTAGTCACCCATTCATTTGATTCATATTTTTAATTGTTTTTATTTATTACATTAATCATTTATTAATTTGATTCCTTTATTTAATATATTTCTTATTACTTGTTGTGCTTTTAGTGCGTTTCCATTGTTGGGTCTTATGTTGATGGTGTTTCATGCAATGTTCCTTTACACTGATATGAGATATGAGGGTATATCTCTAATTCAAGGTCTTGTGGCTTGATGTATAATAACCGTTGTTATGTTTGTGCTGTTCAGACGAAGTACGAGCATGGACTGAAACACATGCAACTAAGATTATTCAATAAACCCTGCTCTTTATTATCATCACTTCAGCACGTCTCCTGCTTCTGCTCTCTCTGGCTTCCTTCCATCGTCAACTCCTATTTTGATAGTAGACTTTCAATTCAGTTGAATACTGGTTAACAGGTTTGGGTATTGAAACTCTGCTGACTTGTTATCCAAATACATGGAGTAACAGACATTTTCTGACAAGATCTGCCGTCGGGGGCTGGATCGTATTCATCTGGTGTGGAGAGTGTGATCTAACCGCTTGTTGTAGGAATGAACAAGATTCTCCTCGCAAGGCGCTGCAGTCGTGGAAATATGCGATCTTGTTTCTCCTAGAACGATAGCAGATTTTCCTCTGATGACTCCTCTAACTGAATCTTTGAACAGTAGGGCTACTCTTGCATTCATCCATTATTTTGGGAGTCTCATTTTTCCTATTTTGAAAAGCTCACTCTGCTTTTTTCGCTGGTACACTGCTATGTCCCGCTACATCCACCCGCAACCCACTCACAATTAATCATAATGTATTTTTTTTATTACCCGACCCGCAGATTATCCGCAGCGCCCACGGATATAACCACCACCCGCGCATCACTAGTATGTATTGCTCTGGAACAGCTTCAGTAAACAAACAGTTACGCAAAATTTAGTTATTAAACCCCAATGCACACAAAAAGGTCCTTAGCAAAACAAAGCGCACCTCATCATGGTCACCAGGCCTTCTGACGTCTCTCTGCTTGGCCCGCTCTGAGTGGTGTCGGGTTCAGCAGCGGTGGGCGGAGTCACAGATCGTGCTGGTCCCTGATTGGTGTCTGGACTCCGTGACTCTGGGGAGGCGGGACGCATAAGACGGACATCATCACTTCCCTTAAACACCCTGAAAACAAACACACACACATTTTTTTTTGTATTAGACCAGGGGTTCCCAAACATTTCAGCCCGTGACCTCCAAAATAACAATGCTAGTGGCTCATGACCTCCATTATTCTCGGTATAATGTATATTCTCGTGATATACTGTAAATATACAAACGTTGCACACACAACAGTGTATAGGCCTACACACGCACGCAAGCACAAACACAGAGTCTGTCTGAGAGTCTGTCTGAGACTGGTGGGCACATTGTTTACAGCACAAGTCTATTCTTAGTTTTATTTTGGAGAACGCCACTCGCCACTGCATGTTCAGTTGTGGCCTGTAATTATTTTTAATGTTTTTGAGTGCCATAAAGGAGTCAGAAAGTTTAACCTGGTGCTATAAAATCAATATGCCACAGATGATGAATTTATTTGTTTAATTAAATTCATCTTTTTTTTTTTAAATCACCAAGCGACCCCTCGACATTGTCCCGAAACCCCATTTTGGGAACCACTGCATTAGACTACAGCTGCGTCCCAAATCACATACTTATGCACTATTCTACGCCATTTTGTAGTATAAATAGTGTAAGTAGTGTGTTCACACTGAAAACTCTTAAAATAATACGTGCACTTTAATTACCCGGATGATGCACTCATTCAGCCGCTAAAATGAAGTGTGTAATGATGGACACTTCACGCACTCAACGACCGCAGGTTTGCTTACGCAGCGGAAGGGGCGGAGCTATCGGACGCACATGTTGGATAACTTTATTTATTTTGGATGGTGAAAGCAAAATTCTCCTACGAGAGTGATTATAGTGCCTCCCGATGGTGAATGCGGCAATACTCACGATAGGTATTATTTGATAATTCGTTCGTTTATTTCACTGATTTGGCAACCGTCAAACGTCATCAGGGAAACGGTTTGAATTTCCGCTTAGTAAAAAAAACATTAGTGTGCCATTTGGGACGACACTACATACATGTACTATCCTGTTGAGTGTGTAAGTGCATAAGTACATAGTGCATGAGTGCATAGTGTATAGTGTGCCATTTGGGACGCAGCTTACGTTTTTGAGAGTGCAACAGTAGTGGCTGTAGCAATGTTTACATTTTAAATAAGTGTTTTTCTCTGTTCTTCAAAAATGAATCAAACTTTTAAATTGTGTAAAAGGTTTAATTGTAAACATCAGGGTATCTGCAGAGTTATATTTAAGACTTTTCTAAAGCTTTTTAAAACAAAACAGAATAATATTTAAGACCAATTGTAAAGTATAATAATAAAACAGTATTTACAAAAAAAGCACGCAACACAACTAATTAATTACCATCCTTAATACTCTTTATATTACATAGAGAGTAAAAAACCTGAAAGCAATTTTTAAATTAACTAATAGTAACATTTGCTTCAATATATAACAAAGTCTTCTTTGTGGTGTCGGTTCGATTGCATCTTTAAGACCTTTGAGACAGATTTAAGACCTTAATTTTATACTATGGAATTGAAGACTTTTTGAGGATCCAGACACCCGGAAAATGAAATGAATTTGAATCTTTTTTAATTGCTAAAGTTAATTCGGTTACACTTTACAGTAAGGTTGTGTTCGTGAATGTTAATGCATTGACTAACATGAACAAACAATGAACTATACATTTATTACAGTATTTGTTAATGTTAGTAATGAAAATTTGATCGTTAGTTTGTTAACTCACGGTGCATTAGCTAATGTTACAATGCATGAATTTGGATGTTAATAATGCATTAGTACATGCTGAACTATGATTACTAAATGCTGTACAAGTATTATTCATAATAACTACATAACAAAATACATTAACTAATGAAACCTTATTTTAAAGCGTAAGCATTAGTTCAACCATAAAAATTAAGAGTTCAGAGAAACGAAAACAATAATATGATTTTAGAATATAAACATGATGAATGTGATCTGCTCTTACAATTAGTAATAGTCTAAATTTTAGGATCACTTAAAATTGGAGTCAGATTCACCTCTGAGCTAAAAAACGAATATAAATAAATTCTAATAAATAACAAAATTCTTTGCAGAAGCACTAGAAAAGGCTTACATGCATTTAAAGGTGCAGTGGGTGATTGTCTTCAGAAACATTTTTTGTTGTGCTGGTTGAAAGTCTCTTTACAGTCCAATAGTAATGATTACAGTAAATGATCTAAATGTGTTTATATGTATTTTTATATTCTGGGTAAAGCATAAAACTAAAAAATGTTCATCCAATTAAATAGAGTCGGACCGTCATCTCCCTTAATTCCGATAGGCAGATCAGAGTGTCTGTCAGCAAATGTAGATTCCGACTTCTGCGCATGTGTTCACGCAGATCCGCCATTAGCACGTGCCCGTCTGCATCACAAACGCATGCGCGCGAGCGAGCTGTGGGCCGCTCGCAGATGCTGAGTCGGAGCCGGAGGCGCCGAAGGACAGCTGTGCTCGGGCCGATTACTGCAAAGCCAGGCACGGGTATAATTCGTCCCTTAAAGTGGCCGCGCGGTCACGAGACGGACCGGGAGAAATCAAATGCTGAATTGAAACTTTTAAAAACCTGAATCAATATTGGAGTTACTTTAGCACGCTGGAGGAGGGACGACACCATGGCTGAAGTATCACTGTTAGACAGGTCATGTTCTGTTTTGAAACTATTTTATGTTAGATTGTGTTTTGTTATGAATGACTTCTAGACGTGTTGTTCAGCCACTGAAATCTCCCGGTGAAAGATTGATGTGATTATTTTCAACAAATTTATCTATAATGTAGATTTATATTTAGTTTAACAACAAAACACCAGTAAACAGCGCTATTCCGCCTCACCTGCTTTACTGAGCTGAAGTTGCTTTTATATTCACATTGGGTCATTTTTGAACAATGGCAGCCTTCCTATACTGTTTACTGCTACTCTTAATATTCGCTCTGAAATAGCATGTAAGTGTGGCTAAGTATAATAAATGTAATTCCTGCACAGTGCTGGCACTAACTGGCGAATGACATGAACTAGTGGGTTGTCTGTCGGCTGTTGTGACGCGGTGCGCGCACTCGCGATTTAGGGGGTGTGGCTTTGAATCACAGTCCCTCCCCGCAGTCCAATATGCTAAGCGGTTAGCTTTTTGGCAGATCACCTACTGCATCTTTAACCTCTGACCATGCTTTTAGTTTCATCATTGGGCTAATAGATGGACTTCAACATACGTATTTGAAATACATGTATCATAAATACTGCCCATCCCTGAATATTAAGACATAAAAAACTGATTTTAAAGGAACAAAAATAATTTTGTATGTATAGCATCTGATATAATTTGCATAATACACATTGATTTTAGTGTATATTTATGTACCAGCGATCTCTTGGAGTGTTCATGGGAACGTAGTCGAACTTGACTTTCCAGCGCACGTTGTCTTTTCCCGTCTCTACTGCGGTTACACGACCCGTGAACCACTCGCCGTTTACTTTGGCCTCAACCAGAATCCCTTTATCTAAAAATAAACAAATTATTAGATCCTTATTTCACACTACAATTGACCTTATTTTGATGCAAAACAATAGTTTTTACCTTTCTGTGCATTTTTGGCAGCATCTTTCTTCAGATCTTCATTAGTGCTATTCGCTATAACCTGAGAGAGAAATATGGATCAATTAAATGTGAATGAATCATCTCCACTATGATGATGTGTTACTGTACCTCAGTGTTGGTCTGTTTGACGACTGCTGCTGCCGCTGGCTTTTTTTCCACCACGGTTTTCCCTCGAGCCTGAACAGGCGCCGCCATCTTTGATTTTTTGGGTTGAGGTTCGTCCTCTTCTGACCCGCTGTCTTCCTCCTCCTCCTCTTCTTCTTCCTCTTCCTCCTCCTCTTCGCTTTCTTCCTCTTCCTCATCCTCTTCCTGGACTCGACCCTTCTTTATAATTGCTTTCTTGTTGGTTGGAGTTTGTTTGGCTGCAGACTTGGCGGATGATGGCTAACAGAAATATATATATATACTAATTTACAGTGATACTCATGGCCTCTTAAAGGGCACCTATTATGGCCCTTTTTAAAAGATGTAAAATAAGTCTCTGATGTATCTAGTGTGTGTGTGCGTGAAGTTTCAGCCCAAAATACATCACAAAAAATTACCCTTTTAGGCTTTGATTCAAATTGTGGTGTTTTGGTGACTGTCTCTTTAAATGCAAACGAGATTGAGCTCTTTTCAGAAGAGGGCGGAGCTACAGATGCCTGTGTGTCAATATGGCATGCACTAAATTCCAGGGGTTTCATTACCGCGACGTAAAATGGGCGTGGCTCGGTCGTTGTTTGGGAAACGCCCCCTTAAAAAAAAAAACAATACTGAGAGGTCATCGATCATGCGCAGTACAGGTTCTTTTTTAGCGCGGTCATTTCAAACAGCATGATTATGGATAAAGAACCTACCGCGGTGGATAACGAAGGAAAAAACAATCATACAGGTTATTTATTTGTTTTTATAATGTTATAGCCTACTATTTAAAGATTTCATTAGCAAAAACAGCTGACCTCATTTTACTCCGTTTTACTGTCTCTGGGCTTTTGTACTTCCATTTTAAACCAAATAATAATGGTTGTGGTAAGATTAACCGTGTTTTTGTAGTTTAAAATATGGTATTCAGTCATGTTTAAACAAATAAATACCACATTTTCTGTAATAAACCGTGGTTAATTTTTCTTTCTCGATCTTAGTTAATTAACATAACTCATATTTATTTTCTATTTTTATTTAAAGTCATCATACACAAAACAGCTGGGATCAGGACAGGCATCTGATGTTAATGTATATAAAAGTGATCATACACAAAACAGCTGGGATCAGGACAGGTATCTGATGTTAATGTATATAAAAGTGATCATACACAAAACAGCTGGGATCAGGACAGACATCTGATGTTACTGTATATAAAAGTGATCATACACAAAACAGCTGGGATCAGGACAGACATCTGATGTTACTGTATATAATTGTATATAATATAAAGGTGATCATACATGAAACCCCAGGGATCAGGACCGGTATCTGATGTTACTGTATATGATATATAATCTATTTGACACAAAAGCCATGGGATCGGGACAGGTTTCTTAAGTTATAACAGTATTAATGTAATCTGAGAGGTATCTTAAGTTAATTTGTTTAATATAACATACACTGACTTCACATGAAACACCTACGATCAGGAGAGCAATTTTGTACTGCATTTAAAAGGCATTGGACACGAAACCCCTGCGATTACGTACAGGTATCTAAATCAAACGGCTATTTTCACAATCTGCGCATGATCCGTGACCTATGCAAATTCACAGATAGGCCACGCCCACCCGATGACGTAGTAGCGGTTACGCTGTACTGAAACTCCTGGAATAAAGTGCCTGCCGTGTCAACATAGTGGCAGATTTAAAAGCAACATTAACTTGATTATCTATGATTACTTTTATACATGAATAATATGATATGACATATTGAATAATAGCATGACAGATTGATATTATTATATGTATATATTTTTTTTCTTTTTTTTTATGTATTTATTTTCTTTTATTTTTATGTAACTTTAAAACTGCTTTGGCAATACATTTGTAACATTTGTCATGCTAATAAAGCCATTATGAAATTGATTAACATCCTATGCTAATGAGATGGTCACTAATGGGCGGGGCTTTCCCCTTCTGACGACACGTACAAAGGGAGAATGTCAATCAAAGTGTTTCTGCAGACTGTTCAAAAATGTAGTAAAAAATATTTTTTTACCATGAGACACTGGTTATATTCACACACTGCTGCTTCACAACTGGTTTTAAAAGGTACAGTGCTAACCACTGAGCCGCACATTTGGAGTCACTCTTTGTGCTTTGTAACTCAATCTGTGCTTCAAAATTACGATTGGAGCCTTGTAGTCATTGTCAGTGTGAATCATATAATACATAATTAAATGTACTTACTGTAGGAGTGCGGCTCTGTGCAGCACTTCTGCGAGCTGGCGTCTTTGTGGGCGGTGGAGGGGGCGGAGCTACATGTTTGGGGGCGGGTTTTTTTGCAGGAGCTGGAGATGACTTGGCTTTGGGCGGAGGAGCCGGTGGAGTCCGGGTAGGCCTTGAGGGTGGAGCTGGTTTCGGGGGAGGAGTTTTTACGATCTGCTGTTGACTGACAGCTCTCCTGACCACTGCTGGAAGAGGTGGCGAGCGGGGGCGGGGCGCTGCTCGCTGGGATGAGCGCGTTGGCTGAAAGAGAGGGTGAATTGTTACACATGAAACCAAAAAATAACCATATTGATTTTGTTAGCACACATTTGTGGTGAACAATTCATCTGTGCATGTCATTAAGAGAAAAAATGTGGATCTGGAATGTGAAAAGACGCCGTTAAATATGATAACAGTTTTTATAAGGACACATGTCCTCATAAACTGACTCAGCATCGTAATACCTAGGTCATATGCATGTGATTATACAAATGTGTGTCCATGTAATCCACCAAAAGCAGTAGATCTGGTATGTGAAAAGACCCCGTTAAATATGATAACGGTTTTGACAAGGACACAAGGCATGTCCTCATAAACAGACTCAACATTGTAATGCCTAGGTCATACATAGGGTTGTAACAATATACCGGTATGACGGTCTACCACGATTTGAACATGCACGATTATCATACCATGAACAATTGCATATCAACGGTTTTAACCCTTAAAGACAGAGACAGCCGCCCGCGGCTAAAAATAAGTATTGCTCTTAAATGTTTAATCTCAGAAGAAGAGAATCTCAGCTTTCCAGTGCTGTATCACATAACATTCGCGGACTTTCAGAGGCTCCGGAATCAGTGCGGTTACGTCATCAAAATTTGACAACGCTGATTTGACAAAGAAACGCTCGTCACTGTGTCTCCGGACAAACCAGACATGATACATTGATGCATTGTCCCTCCTCCATGCCCAGATTGGTTCAAACTGGCTATATCACAACCAATAAGCATAGGTTTCGCTTTTGTTCGTGGACCAACAGTGAGCTTTTTGAACAACACAGAATGAGAGATACATACATCAAATGCATACATTTATGCGCGGCTAAATAAAACGCAAAAAAAAAAGTTTTGCATGAAATAATTCTCATACTAAGTACTTTTGCATGCACAGCAGCACAGAAACATGACAAAACAGTGACACAGTAAAGACGAACTGCTGCTCTTGCTGTTTTCAAAAGACGCAAATGAAGGTGCAGCTGTTTGTCTGCATTGCAGACAACCATATCCAAATCCATATCGATAGACAACCATATCCATGCTGGCACATAAAACCTAAGGATGTTCCATATTGAATCTAGTTTCGTTATGTAACTATTTATAGTATAGTAAATATTTATATCTATTTTTTTACTGAGGATTTGCACCATGTTTATTTGGACTTTGACACATTATTTATTATTTTCTTATTTTTTTATTTGTTCATTGTAAGTGGTGTTGTTTATAGTAACTGAAAATATATTATTTGGAAAAAGTCAAATTTGCTTCACTGTTCTATTATTTTGTAACATTTGTAACATACCGTATACCGCGAAACCGTCAAACCGTGGTATTGTTTTAGACGATTATCATACCGTAAAAAATTCATACCGTTACAACCCTAGGTCATACATATGTGAAAATACAAATGTGTGTCCTTGTAATCCACCAAAAGCAGTACCTGAGGTGAGCGCTCTTCTGTAGTTTTTGCACTGACTTCTAGAGGGAGCCGTTTGATATCAGCTGCTGACTTTATTGTTGTGGTTTTCTGAACGAGAAGAAATCGACCATTAAATTAAACACTAAACAGACACAGAGATTCTCAGAGGAAAGCTGAGGTGATATACGGACCTGCATGGCCTCCAGTTTCTCCTGCTGCTGGCGGATTTTCTCCGTCAGATCTTTCTGTTTGTCCTCTGAAGACTTGAGGTCTTTTTTCAAAATGCCGACGGGCAGATTCTGCTTCTGCTCCGCGGCATCACACCTGACAGAACAGACAGCAAACACACCAAAGAGTGAGAAAGAAACAGTGCTGACGTTTTAGAACACTTCTGATGTCTGTTTTGTTCCCCAAACCTGTCCTGGGATCCGTCCGGGTTCATTAAACACACCCAACTGTCAGGATAGCGCTTGTCCACGGCGTCCATCTGAAACGGCAACGTCCGCCATTTCAAACACTTATCTACAGGAAGAAGAAATATACAAGACATTATTTTTATCTAAAGTAATTGCTACAGTATGCAGTTCCTATGGTGTTATGATTGTTTTATAACATGTTGCCATGTGGTCGCCACAGTGTTCTGGTAGTTTCTTAAGCCACTATATTACAGCAGCTAAGATGTAGTAGTAGTTGTTGTTGTTGCTAAGGTGTTTGGTTGTTTTTAATGTGTTATAATGCATTTAAGAGAGTTAGAACTGTTTCTTAGGCTGTTATCATGTGGCTGCTAGGACGTTTGAGTTTTTTTGGGGACCCTATGTAGCTGCTATGATGTTCTGGTTTCTTAAGGCATTGCTATGCACTTCCTATGGTGTTATGATTGCTTAGTAACGTTGGTATATGGTTGCTACAGTGTTCTGGTTGTTTTTTTAAGCTATTAAGACATACTAGTTGCTGCTTGGGTGTTTGGTTGTTTATATAGCGTGTTACTATGTCGTTGCTTTTGTTTAGTTTTATTCTTAGGTTACTATGTTGTTTTTAAAGGTGTTCATGTGGATTTTAAGGAGTTATAGTGGTTTCTTAATGTATTGTTATGAGGTTGCTGTGGTATTTTGGTGGTTTCTTAGGGTGTTGCTTTGTGATTGCTTGGATGTTATGCTTTTTTAGGGACCCTATGAAGTTGCTAATAGTTTTTGGTTTCCTAGGGCATTGCTATGCAATTACTAAGGGGTGTTGGTTGTTTTTTAAGGCGTTGCTATGTATTTTAGGGTGCTATAGCTATTTATTAGAGCATTGTTATGCAGTTGCTAAAATGTTCTGGTTGGTTGGTTGGTTTAAAGGTGTTATGGAAATACCTTAGGGAATTGCAATCTGGTTGCTAGGGTGTGTTGATTATTTTGTTACAATGTTGCTATGGTTTATTAGGGTGTAATTGTTGCTTCTTGGGGAATTGCTTTGTGGTTGCTACAGTGTTTTTGTAGTTTCTTAGAGCATTTCTAAGTAGGGGATTATGATGTTTTTTTAAGGTATTGCTATATTGCTATGCATTTTTTGGGTGTTATAGGTATTTCTTTTAATGTATTGATATGCAGCTGATACAATGTTCTTGGTTGTTTCTTAGGATGTTCCTATGTAGTTGCTTGGATTTTGCCTTTGTTTTTTTAGGTATTATAAAAATTCCTTAGGGAATTGCAATCTGGTTGCTAGTGTGTGTTGATTTTTCAACCCAGGCTCATTCTGGAAACATTGCCCCGGGAACATTTCTGGAGACTGCGAAATACGTCCCGGGAGGTCCGTATTTATACAGTTTTCGCGAATCTGCGAGTGCTGTTCGCGCCCGCACTGTTCTCGCGTGAAAAGCCACCAGAGGCCGCTGTCAAGCGACCGTCTGTCCGACTGAGTGACTTAAACGATTGATTGACTGGGCGGCCAGCCAATCAGCCGACCCAGCCACCACCCTCCTCTTCCTCCTCCTTCCCTAAACCCAAGCGACGATTTACAAAAGCCGTCCAGAAAAATAAAAGCCTTCGTCTGATTTTTACAGCGCTTTCAAATTTCGTTGTGTTCTCGCCCCATTACGAACTTGTTCGCTTTATTTTTTGGATTCTGTTTTTCGTCTTACCTTATTTCTGGAACTGCTCTTCCCCGGACTCAAACCCGGTCATACGCCGCGGCCGGCTCCTCCCCTTCAGGGCCTCCGCTCCGCCGACATAACATGACGAGCTAACCAGACAAGCTGGTTGCGGCGAGAAAGCCCTCCACACAGACGTCACACCGCCCCGTAGAGTTCGCTTGAAAAAACGAAATGCGGCCATATGTACTTCCAGCCACGTAAATCGCGATCTCCAGAAACGTCCGCAGAGCTACGTTTTCAGAATGAGCTTGGGTTGTGATTTTTTGTGACATAAAAATCGTGTGATTTTGGCTATGTTTTGGTTGGGGTGTAATAGTTGCGTCTTAGAAAATGGCTTTGTGGCTGCTAAAGTGTTTTGGTGTCATCCTAGGGGGGATTTGGTGTCTTTTAAAGGTTTTAAAGTGCTATAGCTATATATTTTTAAGCACTTGCTACAATGTTTTGGTTGTTTCTTAAGATGTTCCTATGTAGCTGCGAAGATTTTGTGTTTGTTTTTTGGGTATTCTGTAAATTGCTTAGGGAATTACAATTTGGTTGCGAGGGTGTGTTAATTTTTTTGCGACAGTAAAGGTATATTTTTAGCAAGTGTCATAATTACAAGCAACATTCAAGTCCAACAAATGCCTAATCCAGTTGCTTAGGTGGCAGTATCCAATCAGCAAGAACAAAATATGCTTTCGGAAATGTGTGAAGTGACTATGAAGATGCCTCCGTACCACACTGGATGGTGACTGGTATCTCCATGGCTCTCCGCCGGCGAAACTGAATTTCATTCGACGGGTTGGAGTTCCAGTTGGCCGACAAATACCCAAACTCATCCCAGAATTTCACTATACCCTTCTGAGCTGTTGAGGGGAACATAAAATCCACGTTAAGTGCATCATATACAGTACATCAATCATTTTAACTACCTAATAAAAATATAACATTTACAATTTATGACCAACAACACACAAAGACTGACCTATACCAATATCCTTCCAGTACTGGGCCAGATAATCTCCCATGGCTCTCAGTAAATGTCTGTACTCTTTAGCATCTGCAAAGTCCTGCTTGTTGTGCGTTGGCTCGAGCACTAGATAGGGAACATCCACCACTCCTACAACACCCCCACAGGCCCTGATACAAACACACACAAACACACGCACGCACGCACGCACGCACACACACACACACAGTAGAGCAAAAATTACTATCGAAGTCAAAGTGAACCAGCATTTTTCTAAATATCTTCTTTTGTGTTCAACTAAAGAGACTGAGTTAATAATAATAACATATTTATTTTTAGGTGAACTGAAACAAACTATAGCCCCTAAATTTAATGTGTAAGCTGGCGTAGAGTGTGTTTCTGCTTACATTCCTCCCTCCAGCTGTGGTCCCGTCTTCTCATACATTTTAATGAGACGACTGCAATTATAGACGAACATCCCATCCTGGTCTCGTCTCTGGATGTTCACGCCGAATATAAAGTTCAGTTCCTTGGGCTCTTTCAAAGCTCTGAAATGGGAACAACAGATGATAGTCATACTTGTGCACACTAGGCATGGGCCAGATTCTGACGGTATGATAACTAGGCCCACACGGAATCTGCGAGCGCAGAATTCCGCAGATTTCCGGCAGAATTACGCAGATTCTGCAGATTTTTAGCCCATTATTATTTTTGTTTATTTGCTTGAGTAAATGTGTAAATCTGAATTTATTCAGTTTTTATTCACTAATTCATTACTTTTTATTTAATATATGAAGGTTTTAGTTATGATACTCCGCTGGATACTCCCAAAACAATTCCGCAGATATCTGCAGATTTTTACCAAAATTCTCAGCAGAAACAGCAAAAAACGTCCGCAGATTCCGTCTGGCCCTGATGATAACCTTGGATATATATATATATATATATATATATATATATATATATATATCACGGTATTGAGATTAAAGCTCTAAAATCTGTTCTTTTTAAATGACTGGGTTTAAAAAAAACAAAACCTTTTTCCCCTTTGTACACAATATATTTTAATTTGGGAGACATTTACAGTATTTTGGAACAGTAAACATAGCAGGCTAAATAATTAAAATGAATTATTGCCCTCTGCTGTCTTCATTTGTTTTTAAAAACACTGATTTATTTACTATTAATACGGCATCTTTGGATATTTTTTTTTTGAAGGAGATACTATTGACCTAAAAAAAAAAAAAATTAAAATTAAAATTTATCTTACTCATACCCAAGGAACGGTATAGCTGAAAATTGACGGTTTTCAAACCTTGACTTTTCCAAACCGCGTTATACCTTGAACACGGTTATCATCCAATGCATTGTGCACACTTAAATCTGAGCAGGTTCAATCCCTGAATCTTATTTTGCACTGATGTTATAGTACATAAGGATGGTTTCTGCATTATCATGAACATGAGGTGTCAAAATTAATTGTTTCTTCTGTGCACCGCGATGCAGACGTGGACAATTCTGTATCGGTTCAGTAATAATCATACCCGGTTATTGTGTACTGACGCCAATTCTCTCATATGCGCTATGTTGCCGTAGCTGACTATTTACAACGCTCCAAGTACTTAAAAATGCAGAAACTGTGCACAATTTCACTGCGTGTGTTTGCTGGATCAGTCTTTCACTGACATTTAAAGCAGAAGCCTCTATTTCACTGAGATTGAAAGAATCAAAGTACTCCATTTCTTTCTCTCTCTCACTCAGTGTGGGCCCATTTGACCTGTTGGCTGGACTTTTCCTCTCCTCTCCTTCTGGATACAAACACGAGCATGTGTCTGAGTTTACTCCGCCGTGTCTATCATGGATCATCTGTGATCGCTGCTGCCGCTCATCAGTATCACTCATCTGTGAAGAGCACAGTGCGCAAGAGCCAATCGCAGTCGTTTTTGTTGAGGGAGGTGTGACCATACAAAGGGGTGTAAGAGAACTTGGTAGACAAGGATCAGAAAGCGAGCTGGATATTTATATTTGTATTCATTCAGTCAGGCCTCTCTCTCGCGACTGCAGCTAGTCCAGAACGCAGCTGCCAGGCTCTTAACAGCCACAAAAAAACCGAGAGCACATTACACCTGCACTTGTTTCTCTACACTGGCTGCCAATCCAGTTTAGGATTCAGTACAATGTTCTGTTGTATGTTTATAAATCCCTCCATGGCCTGGCCCCTGAGTATATTTCTGAGCTAATTGTTATGCACCAACCCGTGAGATCTCTTCGCTCTATGGATCGTTTCTATTTACAAGTTCCTAGATCACGCTTAAAATGTCGAGGTGATAGAGCTTTCTCGGTAGCAGCTCCGAGACTTTGAAACGATCCTCCCTTCTCTTTAAGAACAGCTCAAACTTGAGTCTTTTCAGAGGTCACTGAAAACACACTTATTTTCTTTTGCTTTTAATCATGTGATGCGAGTTTATGTATTTTGGTTTTATGTATTTTTCCATGCGTTTTATGTGTTTTATGTACAGCACTTTGGTAATCATTGTGGTTTGTGAAAGTGCTATAAAAATAAAGTGAGTTGAGTTGAGTTATATTAATTGCTATAAATGCTCGTGTTGTTTAAAGGTACAGTTTACATATCTGACTGTTTGTTTTAAATGACAAAATTGCTTAGTATAGTATATAAACATAAATATATATTCATACATTATTATACAAGAATTCTGCTGTGAAGAAAATATAAAACTGTGTATTGAAAGCATCGTCAATGCATCGTGATATCGAATTGAACTGAATCGATGGCATGATAATCGTAAATGAACCGCGAGACCAGTAAAGGTTCACAGCTCTATCATGAACATTAAAATACTTTATAATGTCTTAGAAACCATTACATAAAAATTCTAATGTATTTTAATCATTGCATTTGTCATAGAAAAGGAAGAGTTTCTTAAGAGCATGTTAAAAAGGTCACACGTTAAAAAACAAGACAAAAAAATCTAATAAAACTGTATAAAAATCAATCTGCATGTTTAGGCAGACAACATAGTACAGGGGTGGCCAACCCTGTTCCTGGAGAGCCACCTTCCTGCAGATTTCAGTTGCAACTATGGGTGTCACGATTTCGATTTTAAATTGAAATCGATCGAATTTCGATTATCGAATCAAAAAATAGAATCGTCGATGCTGCCACGCCCCCATGTCACGTCAGCTTGGCTTGCCAAGCGGGAAAAAAAACAGGCTTGTCGAAGTGCTTGTTAAACTGCAGAAGCAGGAGACCCGTCGACAGAACTTAAACCCTCTCCTCTCTCAATGAAGTCGCCGGTTTGTAAGCATTTTGGATTTCCAGTGAGTTATGTTGACAACGTTCGTGTTGTCCACAAAAAACCCCACAGTTTTGCAAGCTCTGCTACGTACTTATTACGTACGGTTCGTCCGATAGACAACACCGGCATCACGATCCTCCACCCGCCCCCGTTGCAAATCCGCTCGCGAAAAGTACACACTCAGGCCCTGTTTATACTGTCTTTGTTTTTAAATGGCATTTTAGAACGACAACGATTTGACATCCACAGTGGCGTGTAGCATTTCTGAGCAGCCCTCCTTCCTCTCTACCTCTGAAAATGCACATCACGTGACCACACAGACGCACTCGCAGCCATGCGCTCGAGACAGCAGGTCCAGGCAGTCAGAGGACTGCTTCAATCTTTCACTCACTTGTACTTAGTCATTTTAGCGAACACCTCAGATACTGTTGGCTGGTTCCTGTTGGTTGTGCGTCTTTTTTACCGACGCCATTATAACGACACAGATCACTGCCTATTCACGAGTCCCGCAGAAAAAGTGATTGACAGGTGGTAATTATGTGTGTGTCTTGCCTTTATTCATTTACTGTATGATTTGTTTATGGGTAAAACAAAGACCATGCAGGTCAGGTAGTTTAAGCGGTAGGCTAAAAATAATTAATTGGTCATTAATTAATTAATTATTCATAAATCGAATCGAATCGTGCCTTTAGAATCGAAAATGTAATCGAATCGAGGATTTGGAGGATCGTGACACCCTTGCAAATGAAATTCAGCAGATTTCAGTTGCAACCCATATCAAACACACCTGCCTGTAATTATCACGTGGTGTTCAGGTCCTAATTATTTGGTTCAGGTGTGTTTGATATGGGTAGCAACTGAAATCTGCTGAAAGGTGGCTCTCCAGGAAAAGGGTTGGCCACCCCTGACATAGTACATCGTGGAAGTTCTTGTTGTTACATTTCCTTTCAGGCGGTTCACACATTTCTTATATATAGCACATTAAAGAGCAAATTTATAGGAGTGGGTGAGCATGCATTACTTTTGTTTGGATGCATGGATGGCTTGTTTTCTAGTAGCTTCGGCTCGTAACGCAACAGCGGAATCCTGTGCCTTTCTCAGCGACGCCTGAAATCAAACATTAGTAGAAAATAAAACATTAACCAAAAAAACACAAACACATTCAACATTTCTTCACTCTCACGTGGTTATAAACTATGTTATTTTTTTAAGCAGCAGAAATCAGTCCAAGGCACTCGAAAAACGTGCACAAAATATTAAAAAGCCAATATTCACATCCTTAAAAAAATATCCGTTTAGTGCCATTTTGCCTGCATTCAAAAACAAGACTAACGTCCTATGCTAATGAGATGGTCACTAATGGGCGGGGCTTTCCTCCTCTGATGACACGTACAAAGGGAGAATGCCAATCAAAGTGTTTCTGCAGACTGATTTTAATCAAGGCTGATTATGCAAAACATTAAATTATTCATTGTTTACCACTAGAAGCTGCTTATATTCACACACTGCTGCCACACAACTGTGTTTAAACCCCTTTTGAAAGTGATTTTGGCATAACAGGCCCCCTTTAAATGATATAAATCAATTAAGCAAAATGAGATCCTTGACTTACTCGGGCTTCTTTGGATAAATCATCACCAACTTTTATCTCGAGCATGCGAGCTTTACTCTCCGCTTCTCGTGCTTTTTCCTCGGCTAGAGAGAAATTCATGCACACAGACACACAAGACAAAGAAAGAAAAGCCAATTAATTCATTAGAAAGCACCGTCTCCATATTAAGACAGCTTACTTTCCTCTTGTTCCATTTAATAAATGACTCAAAGATTCAAGGCATTAGTGTGATAATAAAGTGAGAGTCTGCATCCTCTGCCAAGTCTTGTGGTTCAGTATTTGTCGTGGCTAAAAACAGAAATGGTCAGATGAAGGAAGTGACATTAGAGGCCACACAGCCTGACGTCTGAAACTTCCCTTCTGCCATTCTCATCCACTTGAAGCAGTTTGTGTGGGCTGAGGTTGAACTCACCGAGTTTCGCAAGATGATCCGCCTTTTTGACCTCTTGCTCTGCTCTGGTTTTAAAGCGTGTTGATGTGTATTTGTACATCCTAGAGAAAGAGAACAAAAGAAATTGGAATTTATTGTCATATCAACTTCTTTATGGCAAAACTAGATCAAATTTACAATGAGGTTGTATTAGTTAACGCATTTACTAACATGAACAAACAATGAATAACATATTTGTTACAGTATTTGTTCATGTTAGTTCAGGTTAATGAAAATTCAGCTGTTAGTTCATGTTCTGTGTATATCAACTAATGTTAACAAGCATGAATTTGGAAGTCAATAATGCATTACAAACAATTGTACTCTATTGATTTCTCATTCTTGATACTGTACTTCTATTAATTAGATACCCCAGTTTAAAGAGAGTACAGGGGGGGCATTGAACTGATATGTCATTATATTGTTATTCAAGACTGTATACTTTATTAATAATAATAGATGATAATAATGAATAAAAAGAGAGCGAGGTAAAATAATAATGCATTAATAACTTTTGAACTATGATTAATAGATGCTGTGCAAGTATTGTTTATCATTAGTTCATGTTAGAAAATATAGTAACCAATGAAACCTCAACCCTATACATATAACAATTGCGACACGGTGGCTCAGCTGTTAGCACTGTCGCCTCACAGCAAGAAGATCGCTGGTTCGAGTCCCGGCTGGGCCAGTTGGCATTTCTGTGTGGAGTTTGCATGTTCTCCTCGTGTTGGTGTGGGTTTCCTCCGTGTGCTCCGGTTACCCCCACAGTCCAACAAACTCCTGCGCTATAGGAGAATTGAACCAACTGAATTGGCCGTAGTGTATGAGTGTGTGTGTGAATGTGAGAGTGTATGGGAATCTGCTGCGTAAAACATGCTGGAATAGTTGGCGGTTCATTCTGCTGTAGTGACCTCTGATAAATAAAGGGACTGAATGTATATATAACAAAAAAAAAAGACATCAACAGCAATAAATAATACACAAGACAAACATCTTAAACAGCTTTTTAAGGTTTATCTTGGATAAATATTGTACCATTTTTGACATTTATTCACATTTAAAAATAATTCCTTTAAAAGCTCTCCATAATAAATAAATAATAAAAAAAAAAACGCTGTCTGATAACATTAAAAATAGGGCACAGCAAAAGTAAAAGTAACTCCCTATCTGCATCAGAACGGCAGAGTCTTCAAAAACGACCACTTTTCTTACTAACATGCAATTCCCTCTCTGACTCCTCCACTAACAAAAAATAAATAAATAAAAATTACTAATGTTTTGCTTCTAAACCTTTCTTTACACACCTGAAACTTGCCTACAGCACTTATTCAATATTGCTCTTATAGTTGTGTAAATTGCTTCCTTGTCCTCATTTGTAAGTCGCTTTGGATAAAAGCGTCTGCTAAATGACTAAATGTAAATGTTCAACACTTTGATTTCTGTTGCAATTTTGACAGTAGGTGCCAGAAGTCAGGAAACAAAAACAATGCACAGTTGTAAACATATAATAAATCTGGGAGTTTCTGGAAGAAAAAAAACACATTTTGTTTAGCTTACAAGCAAGGTACACCATTAAAGGTTCAGGACACCCTGGAGAACTTTTTTTTTTATATTAACAGATGTGTGTGTGTGTTGAGCATCAGTTAAGGCAATGTTAGCACCTGTCAGCTTTAATTGTGGGGAAAACTGGATAATTTTGAGCTTTTGTCAGCTAATTTCAGCTTCCGGGTTTAAAATGATTTTTGGGGCGGGATCAAAATCGGCGACGTACTGCAGTACTGCAAGTGCAATGATGACCGTCGGTTTCTCATTATTGTTCATAGCGGAGTTTTCTTATCCTATGAGAAGAGCCGGCTGCTTAATTATTCATCAGACCTGCCAGAGTCAAGCCCGAGCTGTAAGACACAGACCGACAGTTCATGAAGGCTCGTATGTGTTTGTTTCCATGATCCACGGGGTTTGTTGCATGTTTTCCCCCGCGATCTTGTCAGGGCCGATCATACAGCAAAGCTGTGTGTGTGTTGCTAGCATTTTTGTCGGGAGAGCAGCACGAGAATTAGAGAATGGCGGACGCTGTCTTTTATCAGGAGTTCGTTCACATTCAGACACATCGCCGTGCTGCTGTGTTTGCCTAAATCCTCCAGATTACCAGCAGGGTTAATGGTTAAAACAGACAGGTTAGGAGACCTCCTGCACTGAGTCTGCTGGATACGGGGATTGAGGGAGAAGTCCTCATTTATAGGGTTTACATGAACACACTTATCTTTATAATGATATAAATTGTGGTTGTGTATATGAAATAACGAATAACAAATGTAGCAGGCGTTAAATCACTGTTCATTTCTTTGCATTTTAACTTTGTGAACTATAAACTCATGCGTCTCCTCATGGTTTGTCTCATTTTGTGAGCTAACCGACTACAACAGTTGTTCGCTCACGTTCTCCCCTGCTGGCCACGCCCACTTCTGCCTGATGCTCGCGGAGCTCCACGCCCATTAATCATGCATCTTTTGAAAAAATTCTGAAGTAGACTTTTACCGAAAGTGGGGGGTGTCATGGCCCTTTAAAGAGAGATTTCCCCCAAAATAGAAATCTACTCATTATTTACTTACTCTCAAGTGTTTATAAACCACTTCAATACGAGTTTCTTTCTTCCATTAAACACAAACCAAAAAAATTCTGGAGACTGCTGGAAACTGGCAACTATTGACTTGTAGGAAAAACAAATACTATGGAAATCAATGCTTACAAGTTTCTAACATGTTTCAAGACGACTTCTTTTGTGCTCAACAGAGAACCAGTTTGTGACAAAATCTTCATTTCTTGGTGAACTATCCAAAAAAAGAGAGGTATTTTTCATGTTTACCTAGGGTTATACAGGCAACAGGACAGTCGCTTGGTTCTGACTTTGTGCCCTTGAATGAAGATCCTCATTCTGGGGTCGATATACAGGACGGCTGCATACGCACGGAAAGACCTTCTCTCTGGCTTCCTGTTAACAACACAAACGTATGTGTCAGAATGATGCAAGAAAAAATCCAAATGCTGAATTAGCGTGGTGAAAACCAAAATTAAAGAGCAACAATGCAGTCAGTTAGAGTAGACTACCTAACTTTCTCATTCTCTAGTTCAGGGGTTTTGGGAAATCCTTAACATGATCAATGTCTTAACATTGAATATAAACATGAATATAATCAGTTATTAATAATAACATATAATTAAAAGTAAATTAAGAAAAATGTGTCATTTAATAACTGGTAGCCCTTCACATTAATCGGTACCCAAGAAGTAGCTCTCAGTTTCCAAAAGGTTGGTGACCCCTGTATTAAATCATGTCTGGTCACAAAAATGAATCATTTCAAACACTCGACTGATGTTATGAAGGGAATTAGAGTGAAAGTAATCACTCAAACACTAAAAACTATTTCACACTGAAATAATCAATAATAGGTTCTATCGTTATTATCACGTTAAGTCAAAGGGTTTATTGTGGGGATCCCTAATGTAAAAACCAGGTGAAAACAGTAACGCATCTGACTGAGCTGTTGTCTTTTTGGATAAATGATGAATAAATGATGAACCGTCTACGGCACAGGTGTCAAACTCAGTTCCAAAAGGGCCACAGCTCTGCACAGTTTAGTTCCAACCCTAATTAAACACACCTGATCAAACTAATTGAGTCCTTCAGGCTTGTTTTAAACCTACAGGTAAGTGTGTTGGAGCAGGGTTGGAACTAAACTGTGCAGGGCTTCGGCCCTACAGGAATTGAGTTTGACACCCCTGGTCTACGGTCACAACATACATTTTCTAAAGTCATAAGAGTCTTGTAATATCCCCCAATAACAAGGCCTCATAGTCTGTGGTAAAGTCTGCAATAAGCTATTAGACAAACGTAAACAAAAACACTCACACTCCTTCTACAGGCGTCCCGGCCATCATAATATCCTGGTGGTCTGTCTCGATATCCAGTTCTGGCTCTCGGTTATCCATCAACTTTAAGTTATAAACTACAACCAAAGTACCTACAAACACACAAAGCTCAGATTTAACAACCTTATCGGTCACATCAGTAACAACCAATTTCCAACAAAAGCCACCTACCGCTGGGTCCTTCGATCTTATTGAACTGGCGGAAAAGCTGCTCTTCGTTCTTGAAGGGTGAATATTTGAAGATGAGTTCAGTCTCTGTAGCGTACTTCTCTGTGTCTTGAGTCAGAGGCTGCTGGGTTTTTGCATCCCAGCTTGGTAATGGGACAATAACCTGCGAGAAGAGGCCAAAATCACTCAAAGTCCTGGTCTTCGCTTAAGAAAACACTTTTTTTTTTTTTTTTAGGAAATAAGCTCATTTACAGCTCCTCTATAAGTAAACAGATGGATTTTATAATTTTTGAACACACTCAGCTGATCTCCTGGTCTGGCAGGAGCACTTTTAGCTTAGCATAGATAATTGGATATGGTTAGACCATTAGCAACTCGCTCAAAACAATTAAAAATGATAATTTTCTTATTTAAAGGTTGACTCTTACTAGTTTTATCGTGTACTAAGACTGACAGATAACGAAAAGTTGACTTTGTCTATGCTGATATGGCTATAACAACTATATTATTCCTATATCATTACTGTTAAAGTGTAATAATCAAGGGACTTTGCTGCCGTACCTTGGTTGCAGCAGCTACAATGATGTTACTCAGCTCCTGAAAATAATCTCCAGCTAGCTAACAGTGCTGCAATATATCATTGCGTATCTCTTTTCCTAATTTTTGAGCAATATGCTAATGGTCTAATCCAATTCAATGATTTATGCTAAGCTAAGCTAAAATTGCTCTGCCAGAAATGGAAATTGGCTGAATGGATTCAAACATGGCTGTAAGATGAGCAAAAATTCCAAAAAAAGTCGTCTTCATAAAATGTTTGTGACAAAAGCAAGCCCGCTAATTTGCAGTGTCTTTTGGTGAAAGTTTGCTATTTTTTAGGCTGATATGGCAAACAACTATATTATTCCTATATATTACTATTTTAATGTCATAATCAAGGGACTTTGCTGCAGTACATGGCTGCAGCAGGTGCAATGATGTTACTCAGCCCCTGAAAATAATCCCCAGCTAACTAACAGTGCAGAAATATATCTTTGCGCATCTCTTTTTCTAATTTAAGCGATATGCTAATGGTCTAATCCGTCTCAATGATTTATGCTAAGCTAAAATTGCTCCACCAGCCATAGAAATCGGCTAAATTCATTTTAAAATTGCTAAGATAAGCCAAATTCCAAAAGTGGTGTGTTCCTTTAAAATTGGTGCTCTGTATGAACCAAAGTCTTACTTCACCCAGACTAGCTTCGTGAAATGTTCGCGAAAAAAGCAATTCGTCAGTTTTTTTTGGTGAAAATTTGCTAATTCTAGGCTATGACGGCAAACAACTATATTATTTCTATATTAATTCCATTTCAACTTAATAGTCAAGGGACTTTACTGCCATACCATGTGTTACGTTATGTGCACAATATGTTACGCAGCACCAGAAAATAGTCCCCAGCTAGCTAACAGTGCTGCAATCAATATATCATTATCAATATATCATTATATAATACATATATATGTATATATGTGTGTGTGTGTGTGTGTGTGTGTGTATATATATATATAAGCAATATGCTAATGGTCTAATTAGAATCAAATATCTATGCCAAGCTAAAATTGCTCTGCCAGACATGGAAATTGGCCGAATGGATTCAAAAATGGCTGTAAGATGAGCCAAAATTCCAAAAAAAAGTCGTCTTCTTCATTAAATGTTCGTGACAAAAGCAAGCCCGTTAATTTGCAGTCATTTTTGGTGAAAATTTGCTATGTTCTAGGCTGATATGCCAAACAACCATATTATTCATATATTATTGCTATTTTAATGTAATTATAAAGGGACTTTGCTGCAGCACATGGATGCAGAAGGCGCAATGATGTTATGCAGCCCCTGAAGATAATCCCCACCTAGCTAACAGTGTGGCAATATATCATTGCTCATCTCTATTTCTATTTTAAGCGATATGCTAATGGCCTAATATGATTCAATGATTTATGCTAAGCTAAAATTGCTCTGCCAGACATGGAAATTGGTGGAATAGATTCAAAAATTGCAGTAAAATGAGTCAAATTTTCCAAAAAATAAAGTGGAGTGTTCCTTTAAAGTATGTATTTTCTGCAGAAATCAATGGCTTACCTCATCCAGACCCTCTTCTTCGTGAAATGTTCGTGACAAAAACAAGCACGTTAATTTCTCATCTTTTTTGGTGAAAAGAATGAAGTCCTTTCCGATACGCATGGAACCCCTAAAAGAGACCAGGATGTTTATGTACAAACCCAAATCACAAGACACAAGGGCAGCATATAAAAATACATGCTCTTGAGTAAGTACTTGTTGTGTATATAAATAAATATATACTTTTTTTTTTTAAATAAATAAATATTTAGATAAATAAATACTTTTTAACACTTAAAAAGTACATTCGATATAGCGATGATGTGTGTGATTTAAATGTAATCTGTATGGTATAATACTTTGATTGAAGTACAGAGTAATCAAAGTGATGCCAGACTTCAAACAAAAAGTAGAATTTTGAGGAAAGTAATAAATTTTTAATCCAATTTAATCCCATTTAATGCAATAAGGGTGTATGATGCGGAAACAACGAAAAACTACAAGTAATTTCCATTTGCACTATACTTCTTGAATCCAGACAATAATTTTTCCACAATCAGTTTTTCTCTAACTATATAGTAGGCAAATAGTTTTAGACGCTAATATGTTTACTGTCAAAACTGTGAAGGATACTTACGACTTTAATCCGTTTCCATACTGGCCGATGTGAGTGGACTCTGGGAATCGTTTGCTAGATTTTCCAAACTGGATGACATGCGTGGCTTCACCTGTTCAAAACAGACCCACTGTCATCACTTGAATAGTGATATTTATAAGACTAAGTGGAAAAACAATCATTTTTGAGGTTTGAGGTTGTTTTTGTTTTACTCACTGGGCTCCATTCCAGTGCCATCATCAAGGAAACAAAGCATAAACCCGCCTCTCAGGTCCGGTCTCTTCTCTGATTGGACAGAAAAAAGATGAATATTAACATTTGTTGACATTGTATTTCCTTAACCCTTGTGTGGTGTTGGGGGTGTTTTCATCCACTTTGGGGAGGATTTTGAGGCTAAATTTGGTTCTCTGTGTTTCAGCAAATAGTATGATTTTTGGTGGCAAATCTTATTTTTATTCAACAATACGATCTGGACAAATCGACTACACGTTAATTATGTTAGGGGCTGTTTTTGCCCCTTTGACATCCATTATAATCACATTGATTGCAAAGCCTTGACAGCATATAATTATGCATTCTTAATAGTTGTTGATTTTCCCTATTGGAAAGAGGTCCAATTTACAATTTCTCCTGTTGATCATCAGTTGCACTGCAAAAAAAGCATAGTTTCTTGATTTTATACAGAGTTATATGGAGTATAGTTTGTGTGCATGGGTGTGTGATGCTGTGTTCACACCAGATGCGGAACGCGCGGATAAATCGCACTATTCACGCGTACATAGCCGTGTGAACATTTGAATTTACTCGCTTCATTCGCGTGTCAAATTCAATTCAGAACAGACGTGGATTCGCGTGATGGGCAGGGCTTCTGTCTGCCCGAAGACTCTAGCTTCATAGCTAAATGGCTAACATGGATTTTATGAAGAAAATAACTGTGTTTATGTGCTTTATGAAGACTGAAAAACAGCGTCGATATGTTTAGGGTCGTGTCTGAGTCCACTACATGCTTTCAGAGGTGCATCCAGCTCTGTGAGCTCATAAACTCCTCCAGAAACTGAACCTGGATGACGGAGGCTTTCAGCGGTGCTTCTGACTGAGCCAAGTCTAGTTTGATGAACTGTTGTCGGTGAAGGCTGGAGGATTTCCCTCGGAACACCGACAACAGGTTCTACGTCACAATCACACCGCCACAAGAGCAAGCTTCTGATTGGTTAACGCGGCACGAACGTACGCTGAAGTTCAGATTTTCGAACTCGAGAGATTCGCGCGAAACGCTCGGTAAGCACGTCAAATCCGCAAAACGCTCAATTCGCCCCACGCCATTTGCGCAATTTGCGTCATTCGCGCCACGCCATTCGCGCCGCAGGATGTCTATTCGCGCGTTTGCATTGACTTAACATGTAAATCACTCACGCTTGACGCGCGTTCCACGTCTGGTGTGAACGCAGCATGAGAGAGAGTCCTTTGCACACTTACCTTGAGGTGCTAAAAAAGTCAAAATACCTCAGCTCTCAGAACATAGCAAACACAGCAAATGTATTTATGCACACACACACTATAATCTGCTGTTTTACTACAATGAACTTCATATAAAAGCCAGAAACAGTTTTGCACAGGCCTATCCAATGGGTTAATGACGCAAACTAAAGATCAACAGTAAAAATGACTAATCTGACCTCTTCCCAAAAGCAAAATAAATCACTAACAATTAAGAATAGGGGTGTAACAACACCCTTAGCTCATGATATGATGTTCACGATACAATTTGCATCACAATATTTTATTTAAATTCAATTTGCAAAATTTAACTTTGTCGACCACAGAAAATGGTATCATGTCCTTTGCCATAAATACTCCAGTGCATCTCGTTGTTTATTCAGCTTTGTCACTTACAAGAGACACTCAATTGCATTTTGGCGCTGTGGTGACGGCTTAAATGGCACATCATTTTCGTTGTGTTCGCAGCTTTGTATGGCAGTATTTTTTTACAGTGTTTACACACAGTTTTGCTGCATCCCAATTCGCATACTTATACTATGCCCTAAAAGTACTTTTTTTTTGTCAAGGAAAAGTTGATACTTTTGAGTGTGCAACAGAAGACTATGCAAGCATTGGGACATACTACTTCCTCTTTAACAGATCGCTTAGTTATGCGCCCTGTCAATCATCCAGACACCGTCCACATTTCTGTCGTATTTAATTTCCTCCCTTATTGGAGAAGCAGCAGCAGCAGGTTAATCTCCCATTCACTCCTTTCATAGAAAATCTTTGGGTAATTCTGCATTCAGACGTGTAGACATCCAAACGCGTCTTTATATAGGTTCAGTGTTGTTGTTGCAGATGAAATAACACAGATAATGCGATTTAAATATTTTCCAGTGGGCTAGATATTGACTAACAGTCATTCAAACATCTTTACCGAAGCCTCTCTACTTGACAATCGGTCTCGCACGTCTATCATGTTTGTAGTTTATTTACACTTTCCACACGTGTTTGTAGTTCTAATCGAATTTACATCCAACGCGCAATGTATTGTGGGTAATATCAGCGGTTAGAGTATGGATGGTTCTACACTCAAATTTTTTACCGGAAATAGCAAACTATTCAGGAACCTCTGGCACACTCTTCAACATACTATGGTTTGGGACATACTAATTCTATTTTCAAATATAATTTAGGATGGATAGTATGCGGATTGGGATGCAGTTTTGTCTGTTTTCTTGTTACCATCCTCTTCAGTAACTGGAAAAGCAAAATGTTGCCAGATGTTGGACTTATTAGAGGACGAGACATCCTCTGTTTCAGCTGCACTCATATTGGCCTGCTACTGTTGCTAGTGCAAGCAATCTGAATGCATGTGACAGCCGGTGGAATGTAGCTCAACCAATAAGAGAAAACAGATGTCATATTGCAATAAAATTCTCATAACACCACAATGCATATTGTGACATTTTTGAATTGCACTAAATTGCACCACGATATATTGTTACACCCCTAATAAAGAATGCATTATTATTATTTGGTGTAAAAAAGGCATTATAATGTAAGTCAATAGGGCAAAGACAGCCATTAAGACCACAAAAAGTAGTCAATTTTAACACACAAGGTTTAAATGAAAACTGTGGTAACCAACCTGTGTAGATGTCTATCCTTGTTGCATTCGCATCTCTGTCGACAAACAAATGGAGTGGATTTTCAATTCAATTTAAAGGATTTATCGATATGATTTAATGCGTCTGAAATACTTAATAATCAACAGTTTTTGTACCTTGAGTTGTCCACAAGTTCAGCCAAAGCTCCGAAAAGAAACTCGTGGGTTGTCCTGTTGCAACAAAACAATTTATCACCAACAAAATAAACATTGTTATGGTCGCCATGTTCAGTAGTTTTATTAAAGAGCCCCTATTATACATACAAAAGGGTCATATTTTGGTTTTTGGGGTCTCCAACAACAGGCTGATATGCATGCAAGGTCAAAAAACACTTTCATTGTCTTATAATATGCATTTATTTTTACCTAACTATTCCAGCGACTCCCATATAATTTGTTCAGTAGCAATGGAAACGCGAGCTCACAAACACATTTAAATCCGTAAACAGTGTCACACGTCACGTTTCCAGTGTGATTTTAGACGCGATATGAGAATATAAAGAGTTAACCAGATACACTACAAGCGGTTACAAGTAACAAAACAATTAAATACATCCTTTACAAGCAAGAGAAAACATGGAGGCAACCATTTTAATCACGCATACTCACACTTGTGAAATGCAGGAAGAAACTGATCCATGAACTGTGTACTGATAACGTTCCAGTCGAGCCCTGACAAAGTCTCATACCTTAATAGTCTTTTCTGATGCTTCCTTTAACAAACCGCCAAATCCCCTATTGTAAATATGTAGACTGCTGAAGCACTCATCAGAAAAATGACGGGAACAGAGCACAAGGCTGGGGCTATAATGCTGAGGTATTTTTGCAAAAATAAACCTCAACCACTGACTTTTCACGGTTTTATGTTTGATTCGGGAAGACAACACTAATTTTCCCTCACACTTCCAACAATATCCAGCTGAGCACAGTGCCTTCGCAACATGACTCAACCAGCATGTGCTACAGTGTTCTTCTTTTTCTTTGCTACATTGTTTGTGGGCGGGGCCGGGTGTTTTAATTTTCCAGGGTTTGAGACCGCAACAAACCAGCGGGGCTTAAGTTCATATTGACGTCACGCCGCAAAGACTCGTTACCAAGACGATTAATTGAAGCACTATGAGTCGACTTATATAGATGAATCAATAGTTTAAACACGGCGCACTTTTAGATTTAAGCCTTAGCTGGATATTTCACGTCACTTAGCGCTGTGTAACGCACTACATGGAAGGGCATTTTCAAAAACCCATAAGGGCTCTTTAACAGGTACTTACACTGTATTGAAGGTACTTAGGCTGCGTCCGAAACCGCCTACTACTCAGTAGGTACCACATTTGAGCTTAAACATACTACTCGGCTGTTAGAAAAGTATGTTCTATACAGTATGAATATGAAAACATCCGCCACTTTGTCATGGTCACGTGATTTACCTGCGTCAGTTGTGTCGCTTCTCTCCCATTCATGAATTCTCTCGCGGGACATCATGGGATAGCGTAGCGTGCATGGAATGTGCACTTCAGAATCTCGCCGGAAGTAGTAAGTCATCCGGGTACTTCTCACATACTGATTTTCGAATTCTATTAATTCGAACATACTACTCGGCTCACATATGGATTTTAGCGTACTATATAGTATGGAAGTATGCGGTTTTGGACACAGCCATAGTTTGTCAGTTTGTGGATTTCTTAGGAATCACACCAACAACCACAGTGTTACTCTCAGTGTCATATAGCACCATACTCAACTATTAGAGCTACTAGAAACTCTCTTGCTAATAAATGCTTAAGTACGTGTTAAGTGTGTACAAGGATAATACATGCATTATTAAACATTATTATAAATGTAAAACAAAACAATATGTCCACATTTAAAATAGTTCTTCCAGTCGACAAGCACATGCTTTTCTCATTGAGTATTTTTGTCTTGTTTCTAGAGCAAATATCTTATGACCAATCCAAAAAATAAGACTTTTTTGCTCACCCTAAAGCCAGATTATTTCGCTTGTGTTAAGAAAAAAACTCAATTCCTAATTTATTTTCTGTAAACAAGACAATAGACAGTGTATTGTTGTTATTATTAGACAAAAAATATTTAATCGTAATAATAACAATATTTTAAAACATTTTTTGCACAAAAAACGAGACAAAAACTATAATAAAGGGAAAAAATTTAAGTGTGCTGTTTGCACTCCCAATGACAGCCAGTGTATTACTGAAAATTTGCATGAAATCATAATTTGCATCACCAATGTTCAATCGTACAGTCATTTTAATCATAATTGTATGTCCTCAGGTTATGAAAGTAGGAGCAGGGTTAAACTGACTTTGAACAGATCATAAAATGTGCATCAACACAAAATAATGACAGCTTTTGAGAATCACAAGCTTTAATCTGATTGGCTGAGAAGATTGGGTTATGTTTCACTAATCCAATAGAAAGCAAGTTTTCGTTTGGCATCTTTCATTATGTTTCTTGAAAGAACAGTTGCGTAAAACTTGTGTAAATTGCATACAATTACCAGTGCATACATGTAAAAATGTAGCATGTTTCAGGAAATTAGGCTCCATCCGAAACAACATAATTCGATACTATAAAGTATGCTAAAATCAGTATGCGAGCCGAGTAGTATGTCCGAATTCAAAGAATTCGAAAATCTGTATGCGAGAAGCACCCGGATGACTTACTACTTCCGGCGAGATTCTGGAGTGCGCATCCCATGCACGCTGTGCAGCCCTTACAGGATTATATGTCTTAACAATAAAAATGAAAAAAAAAAAATAAAAAAGTTTTTCAAGTGAGATTCGAACATGGGTCCGCGGCGTTAATACATAACGTGCTTACCACTGGTCCACAGTGCCGCTATTACAGTGTAAATAAAAAATAAGTAATGACTTGTGAACCTTAAGACACAGCAATACTTTCTTTTGATGGCTTAATCTTTTTCTCCCTTTTTTATATTTCTGATCAAGTTATGTCAGATTTATTAATGTAGTGAATCATCTAATTTTCATTGAGCAGATGTATTATTCAGTAATATTAATTATTCGAATTCTTATATTCACTAAGGTGCTGCTGTTTGGGGTCGATAGTTACATCATCATCATTAACGTTAACCTGCGAGCTGCATTTTGCTCACTGGGCTGCGAGAAAATAAATAAGAAGAGCGGCGCTGCGGCAAAATAATGAATAAAAAGAGTAAAGCTATGGTCAAATAAATAAATAAATGAAAAAAGTGTGACTGCTGAGAGTGCAAGCAGCTAGGGACACCGGCCCTCGCGTCCAAAAAACAGACCAGGGCCTGCCATAATGCCCCGCGAGAGAATTCATGGATGGAAGTGAAGCGACGCAACTGACGCAGGTAGGTCATGTGACCATGACAAAACGGCGGATGTAGTACGTACGAATTCCATTCATTCTTTTCACATTCATACTGTATAGAGCGTACTTTTCTAACGGCCGAGTAGTACGTTTAAATTCAAATGCAGTACATACTGAGTAGTAGGCGGTTTCGGACGCAGCCTTACTTTATCAAATCCCGTTGCGATGAAAAAAACAACACTATCCTGTGAGCTTTTTTTTTAGATATATACTCACATTTCTCATGGTTAAAATGCAAATATCACGTATTCACACGTTCATAAACAGAGAAACTTATACTTACGAGTTTGTGTGAAGATACTCGAAGGTGAGCTGAGCTCGATTTAGCGAGCTATAATTCGTGTAGGCCATTTTCTCAAAATAAAACAAATTAAAAAATAAACCAGCTGATCGTATTCACGTCCTGTCTCTACATTCTCCACATTTAATGAGAATCATGTGAGACTTTGACACCTAAAAAAAACAAACAAACATGAAATCAGTACAAATTATCAATTAACCCAATGCTGAACTGATATATGATATAAGCTGCTGACAAAAGGCTGCGTTCAAACTGAAAAATAAACCTACTGTTTACTAGGAAACAATGGCATTTGTAGTTAATAGTAGGCATGGGACGATAACCGGTTTCAAGGTTTACAGCGGTTTTGAAAATTCAAGGTTTTAAAAACGCCAACGTTTTCTGTTATACGTTCCTATGGTATATGTACTTTTTTTTTTTTTTACAACGATTTTATTTAGTTTTTTAGGGTAACAATATTTTCAGCAAAAAAGGAACTTCAACAGTAAAAGCTACTAGTCAAAATTGTTTTAAATGTTTCTTAAAATAAAATATATTGCGTTCAATTGGTTAAAAAGGGTGTTTACCCAGGCAATTAAAAAAATGTTCTTTAGAGCGGTAATCACAATACTGTGATACTATAAAACCGTGATATTTTTATCCAAGATTATCATATCGTCACAATCTTATACCGGCCCATGCCTAGTTAATAGAAATGTAAAGGAACAACAGTCAGAAATATGCAAAAACAAGCCTTTTAAACAGATATAAGACTGTTCCGATGACTGCTGGTTATCTACTTTCAGTGATATCCATCAATGTTTTTTGGAAATTATCCATTTATCATTTTTCGCAAACCATTGAATTGTGGGATTTTTTTTTAATTGGACTGTATGACTTTCCACTTTACCATGGCTATGCAGGAAAAAAATGTTCTAACATATAGTTGTTAATTTTTTCTGACAATGACAATAAATTTAATTGAAGTGTATTATAGGGCCGCATGATACATAATTTTAGAAACTTCAACAAAATCATCCCATTAAATTAATTTAAAGTTATTAAACATTTCTAAACTGAGCTTATAGAGGTATCTAGTGACATTTTATTTAATTATAGTCAATATAAATATAAAAATGTAGGTTTTTTCCCCCAATATATTGTGTTATGTCATATACTGTGCACAGTGTGCATACTACATACTGCAAGAAAAATATATATATAACATTATATACTTGTGAGGAAAACCTAAAACTGTGCTTTTCATGTCAGCATGCCAAAGATTAAGATATTTATTAGAAATTAAAATGAAACACACAAGTTTAAACATATGGCATCCTTTCATAGTAATGCAAGATGCATTTGGTGAGCATTTACAGACTTTTACCATTTAAAATGATAGCATATAATCATATTGAGGGCTAAATAATGAAGCATACAGGTGAGACACATTAACTAGCAGTCCTTAAACTAACTAAATTCACATAGAAACACACGCAAGGCCAGCCCATGCTGCAAGGGCCTCAAGACCAATGCACCAGAAGAGACTAAGGAACTGCTAACATTTGAATTCCCCCAACACCCAAATAAACACCCACACTGTCAAATATACATGCAGACTCGTGCAATAAAGCAAAACACAATAGCTCAAGCCAAATAACTGCGGCCTGCCCATTAAAAACAACCGTCTACATTTACAAAACCACCAGCCTTTGTACAGTAGCACAAGCAGTAATGCGAGTTCAAACCGTTTAACCATTGCTCGACCTCCGTGTGTTTTTATCCAGCGACTCTTGCTTCCTGCATGGGGAAAACTACGAAATAAGACGTGTTTATTCCTGTTTCGTTCATAGAAAGTAGATGTAAGGCCTCGAATCGCTCCAGCGGCTCTTTCCCCTCGAAAAACACACACGAGCAGCGAGACTGCATGCCCCGCCCTTCCTCGCCACGCACAGCCAATCACATCGCACGGGGTTTTGTCGCGCGATTCTGATTGGTTGAAATTGCCGTCACTTAACATTGAAGCAGGAAGTAAATGTGTTGGTCAATGAAGGAATGTGGTGTGGAAAAACGCGGGGAGGGAATCGCGCTAAAAGCACAGCACGACTTTAATCGATGAGGTATAAAAGGTAATCATGATATGACAAGCTGTATGTGATGTTTAAAAACAAAATACATATAGTTAATTTAGTAGCGATCAGTTGATTTTAATAATGTATACATGTTTTTTTTTTATCTTAAACTGTTTATATTTATAGCTAAACGTTTGTTGTATAAAGGTAAAGGTGAGGATGAAGATGGATATCGTGTGTGTAATGGAGGATGAGGACAAAATGTCTGCCGTTTCTTCTTAACTGAAACCGTGTTAGGTATTTTCAGAAGTTTTATTCCCTGATTTTAAAGTGCTGTAAGCTTTTTATTTTTATATGTATTTATATACGACGCTTAAAACCTTATCGAATCCAACCTGTGAATTACCAAGAAATTCCCGCACTTTTTTTCCTGGTTGTTGGTTTTGTCCCAGTAAGAAAATGTTCTTAGCAATTTGATTGGCTGTTTTGTCTTTAAGGGGCGTGGTTTTGAGGATATAGTCACTAATATAATCAATAGCAGTGTTAAGAGTAACGCATTACAAACTAACGCATTGCAAAGTAACGCTAGTTACGTAATAATATTACTTTTCTAAATAATGAGTAAAGCAACATTACTTTTTTTTAAAAAGTACATTTGTTGGTCAATGAAGGAATGTGTGTGGAAAAACGCAGGGAGGAAATCGCGTTAAAAGCACAGCATGACCTTAATCGATAAGGTATAAAAGGTAATGATATGACAAGCTGTATGTAATATGTATAGTTAATTTAGTCACGATAAGTTGATTTAATAATCCATATGTGTTTTATCCTAAGCTTTTTATATTTATGGCGAAACATTTGTTGTATAAAGGTAAAGGTAACGCATTTTTAAAGATAAGTAAATTTGTTGGTCAATGAAGGAATGTGGTGTGGAAAAAACAAGGGGAGGGAATCGTGCTAAAAGCACAGCACGACTTTATATGGTATAATAGGTAACAATTATATGACAAGCTTTATGTGATGTTTTAAAACAAAATACGTATAGTTAATTTTGTTGCGATGAGTTGATTTTAATAATCCATATCTGTTTTATCTTAAGTTGTTCATATTTAAAGCTAAACATTTGTTGTATAAAGATAAAGGTGGGGATGAAGATGGACATTATGTTTGTAATGGACAATGGGAAAAAATGTTTCTTCCTAACTGAAATACGCTGTTGGGTATTTTCAGACAACTTGCTCACTGATTTCAAAAATGCTGTAAGCTTTTTATTTTTATATGTATTTATATAAGACGCTTAAAACATTATCGAATCCTGCACTTTTTGTCCCAGTACGAAAACGTTATTAACAATTCAATTGGCTGATCTGTCTTTAAGGGGCGTGGTCTTGAGAATATAGTCATAAATATAGTCAATAGCAGTGTTGGGGTAATGTATTACAAAGTAATGCAAGTTACATAATAATATTACTTTTTAAAGTAACGATTAAAGTAACGCATTAATTTTTTAAAATAAGTAAATTTGTTGCTCAATGAAGGAATATGGTGTGGAAAAATGCGGGGAGGAAATCGTGCTAAAATCACAGCACGACTTTAATCGATTAGGTATAAAATGTAATTATGATATAACCGGCTTTATGTGATGTTTAAAAAACAAAATACGTATAGTTAATTTAGTCTCGATGAGTTGATTTTAATAATCAATATGTGTTTTATCATAAACTTTTTATATTTATAGCTAAACGTTTGTTGTATAAAGATTAAGGTGAGGATGAAGACGGACATTGTGTGTATAGACGATGAGGACGAATTGTCTGTCATTTCTTAACTGAAATACACTGTTGGGTATTTTCAGATAGCTAACAATTACTGATTTCAAAACGCTGTAAGCTTTTTATTTTTATATGTATTTATATATGGCGCTTAAAACCTTATCGAATCCCACCTGTGAATTACCAATAAGTTTTTTGTCGCAATAAGAAAACGTGTCTCGCTATATGATTGGCTGAACTGTCTTTAAGGGGCGTGGTCTTGGAAATATAGTCACTAATATAATCAACTGCAGTGTTGGGGGTAATGCATTACAAAGTAACGCAAGTTACGTAATAGTATTACTTCTCTAAGTAAAGTAATGCATCACTTTTTAAAAATAAGTAAATTTGTTGGTCTATGAAGGAATGTGGGAATCGCGCTAAAATCACAGCACGACTTTAATCGATAAGGTATAAAAGGTAACAATGATATGACAAGCTGTATGTGATGTTTAAAAACAAAATACGTATAGTTAAATTAGTCGCGATGAGTTGATTTTAATAATCCTTATGTGTTTTATCTCATAGCTAAATTATATTTCTACGTAAACATTTGTTAAATGTGAGGATGAAGATGGACTTTGTGTGTGTAATGGACGATGAAGACAAAATGTCTGTCGTTTTAAATGCGCTGTTGGGTATTTTCAGATACACTCACTGATTTCAAAGTGCTGTAAGCTTTTTATTTTTATATGTATTTATATCCGACTCTTAAAACGGTATTGTTTTATAAATTAGTACAGTGTTTGATATACTTGAGGATATCTGTTAATACATGGAAGAAATCCCGTTTTGTTCTCTCTCTAATGTGATGCACTTGAATAAAAACATGGCAAAGCATTTCTTTTATTTCATCAGCATTGGGGCAGTCTTCCAGGAGTCTTGCCCTCCAAGGTCAGAGCTCCTAGTTGGCAGAGAATATCTTTTTCTGAAGATAACGCTCCCAGGCTTCTTCCAGTTTACAATTGTTAGAAGTGTCATCAGGTCCATTTCTCCCTTATGGTCAGCAGAAAACTGACCCACTTCAGCACATCATCCTTGTCCTCCATCAAAGGCGCCTCTGTCGTCTTTTATGTTTCATCTCATTGCTAATAGCTGTTTTTGTAAGCATAGAAATATCCGAATATGTACGTTTTTATGTCTTTTACAATTAATGTCATTAAACCATCCAGACACTACAACAATGGTTTTACTCAAGACAAAACGTACAAAAGTAGCAAACACATTGCTTTAAACTTTCAATAATCTGTATACGGCATGTGTAGCTCTGGGGTCAGGAAGTTCTCGCATCTGGCATTATCCTAAAATATGTTTTGATGTGTTTTAAAGGTAAATGTATGTAGGTGTAGGTTATATAGTGCGCTGCTAATTGTAGATCTCCCTCTTTAAAAAAGAAAAAAGAAAGAAAAAAAACGAGTTCTGAAAGAGATCAAGCCTCAGTCAGGTAATAAAAAAAGTAACTTAAAAGTAACTTGATGCATTACCTTCCATAAAAAGTAACTAAGTAATGCAACTAGTTACTTTATTTGGGGAGTAACTCAATATTGTAACGCACTACTTTCAAACCTTTCCCCAACACTGATCAAGTTTAAAATTATAATTGATTTTCTGTTGTTATTCTGAGTTATAACCCGTAAATATGAAAATAAAAAACACATCAAATTATTTTAGTAGCTGTTTTGAAGTTAAATTGAGGGAAGTAGGTGAAAACAATCATATTTTGCATCTGTGTAGAAGTTATTTTATCGATTGTTAAGCTAAATAAATAACATTATTTTCTTCGTATGAATAATCTTTTTGGGTTTGTAAGAGGAATAACTATTTTAAAAAGTTATGTTCACTTTTGTTTACTATTTTCAAGTGCCAAATTTCACTAGGATTGAACAGAAAATGAACAGAGTTGGGAAAAAAAATAATTTCTTTTCACATTTTCGATGGATTCACACGATTTTTAACCCAATCACATGAACTATAAAATAATTATTATTGTAATTCATTAATTTTCCTTCGGCTTAGTCCCTTTATTTAAGAGGGGTCACCACAGCGGAATGAACCGCCAATTTAACCAGCACATGTTTTACACAGCGGATACCCTTCCAGCCACAACCCAGCACTGGGAAACACCCATGCACACTCATTCACACACATAAAAACTACAGGCAATTTACTTTAATTTATCTGTACCGCATGTCACTGTACTGGGGGAAACCGGAGCACCAAGAGGAAACCCACGCCAACACGGGATGAACATGCAAACTCCACATAGAAATGCCAACTTGCTTGAACCAGTGACCTTCTTGTGCCACTGTGTCGCCCCTGACCCAATCTAAATGACTATAAAATAATAAATTATTATTGTAATTATTAAATAAAATAATTAAACAGTATAAATGTGTAACAATAATTTCCATAAATAAACCAGCCATCATTTAATAAGTACTAAAACACTCACTTCTGGCAGGTGATTGGTTGTTTTTGTAAGCATTTCTCAATGAAAGGTAAGTGTGTATTGTGTGTAATTTTTCTACATGAACCAACAGACATTACAGCAAATAATGAGCACAGTGGAATATTTTAATACAATCTGTTTTTAGAAAAACAACCATATAGTGCACACTTAAAGTATTTAAATGAAATTAATATTAAATATAATCAATAATCCAGCATCAAGACAAAGCTTCCAATTACAGATTCACTTACTCTTGGAGTTTAATTAAATAATAATAATAACCATTAGTTTCTGGTTTTGTTGTCCTGGTATTGTGATTGTTAATGCTCACATATCATAACATTATTGCAACCAAACTACTGCTGTCAAATGAATAATCGCATCCAAATTAAAAGTTCATATTTACAAAACATTTATGCTTGTATATGTATATGTGTATATATATATATATATATTTATATATATATATATATATATATATATATATATATATATTATGATGCATGACTATATTGCATAAAAATTTTGTTTATATATATATATATATATATATATATATATATTATATAGAAATATATATGTAAATATCTATTTTTTGTATTTTATGTAAAGTTTGTATATTTATACATAGAGTACACGTGTATATTTATTAAGTAAATATATTTTTTATTTTGGATGCGATGAATCATTTGACAACACTAAATTAAACATTAATAAAGTCACATGTAGATTCTTCTTGAAATGACAAGGCATGCAACCTGTATAATTGTTTGCAGGTTCATGATGGACAGTTACTGTTAAATACCCAAATGTTCATTTATTATTTCAGGAGCAGGTGTCGTCTTGTGTTCTGAAGGCAGACTCTCAATTCTGGACTCTGGAAATGTTTTTCATGGGCTCAGCAGAGATTCCTGTAAATGATGTCAAGTGTTTATACATGAAGTTCAGATCTCAAGAAAGAAATTACAGTTCTGAAAATTGTTGAGTACTAGAGATGCACAATGCTGGACATATGTTTAGTTTTTCTGCAATAATTTATTGTGATATTAACTATATTACTTCAGATGCATTGACTAACTCTATTTGTGAAGGATTCATTATATCAGAATGGTTGGGACGATTATATAGACCGTTCCAATGTGGTGATGCCGTTGGCCCATAATCATTTCCTGCATGTTGTCAAACTATTTTAAAAACTGTAACAAGAGGTAATTCAATCTTATCTCAACATTAAAACTGCTGTCATAACATCAATATGTTGACCTTTTAGGATTCTCAGGAGCTTTGGAAATTAAAAGTGTAAAACAGGAAACAAGTTAAGACCATTGTTATTGTTTACATCCCTCAAAATGGTCTTTAGGGGAACGCATTTGCATAAATTCCTTCATTCATTTTTCTTTGGCTTCGTTTCTATTTCAAAGGTCACCACAGTGGAATGAACTTCCAGCCACAACTCAGTACTGGGAAACACCCATTCACATTCACACTCGTACACTACGGCCAATTTAGCTTATTCAATTCAATAGTCTAAATCAGGGTTATTCAATTAGTTTGTCATGGGGGCCGGTTCATGAAAAGCATCCCAAACGAAGGGCCGGAGAGATATAACTGCACAAAAGGCATTTTCTACAAAACATCTAAATGTTTTCGGCTGTCCACACCACTCGCGTGTAGTAACTCGCGCTCTGCGAAGCCTCTGCAGCGCGCGCTGTATTGAACAGACAGACGCATGTCACTATATAACTATAGCGACCGTTTTTCGACTAAACAAAATTTATTTTTGATGTCTTGGTCACATTATTTGGAGGGCCAGAACAAACTGCCTCGGGGGCCGGGTTTGGCCCGCGGGCCATCAATTGAATAGCCCTGGTCTAAATAATGGCTCATTTCCACTGACTGGTACAGTACGGTACGGTTCGGGTCGGTACGGGTCACCTTTATCAGGCTTGCGTTTCCACTACCAAGGGTACCCTTTTGGTGGGCGTGGTGTATGACAAAGTTTCAGTCGACGTCATTTTCGCTCGAGAAAATAGGTGCGTTCGACATGAAGCTCAGCTGCAGCCGGTGATCAACGAGATTAGCCGAGCGCAGGCGGGGGCGGAGTTGAAAACAGAGCCGTCAAGACAGACAGCTGGACACTTCGGGACTCAAAGTTGCTGCAGTCATGATGACCGATCACATGGCGTCATCATATTTTTTTGTTATTTTTATTTATAACAACAAAACATTTACAAATAAAACAGAATACAGGCTCTACAAACTGTGGTTCCTTTTTAAACAATAAGAGAGAATTATGAATAAAATATATAACAAATGCATGAGAGAAATAAGAGGAAATGAGAGGTTAATATAAACATAAAAACGAACAGGTCTATTAAATACAAAGCAATAAGCATAAATTCTAGGAGTTAAACATCAATCTTTAGGCTAATACTTCTTGTTTGAATATGCTAAAAATGGGTTTACATATATGTACATTTATAGATATAAAAATTTCCAATGTAAAAAGCAAAACAAGGTGTTTTGATTAGGTCTTAATAAATGAGATTATTTTGGATAATGAATGAATTTTCAAAAAAGCATTTTAATCCAAAAAGATTGTGTTGAAAAGAACAAAAGGTAAAATAAGTGAGCTATTTAGAAGTTTCCCAGAAAGAGCAGGTAGCCTTTAAACTGCTAGACAGGAAATAAAATATATATATTTATATTATAATAATAAAACCATTTTATAATTATTTAATAAAATAGTTCTTTACTTTAATTTGTTAAGAGAGCTTTAGGGTGGCAGGATCAATGATGATGATTTTCTTATTTCAAGTCTGTAAGACTTATTTAGGTTATTCACTAAAATATACAATAAAATATATCATTTAAACCGTTCATGGAGATGAATGCAGTAAATAGTCTGTATAAAAAAGTTAAAAATAAACCTGTGCAAACAAGCTAACCTTTATAACCAGATTATTTAACAAAAGATGATACAGCAGTAAAATATTTGTAATCTTTTAATAAGCAAGATGTGTGCAGGATAGAGAGGGTGTGAAAAGTGAATTGTTTGTTTTAAAACTTTTGAATCGGAATTTGTCCAATTATAAACCCGAAATACACGTGTTTGTTGTCATGTGGTGAACTCGGCCAATCGTGTAATATCGGTGTCGTCATCAAAGCTCCTGCAGTCGCTCTTCAGAAGCTGCACGGTCTGAGTTTGCCGTCTGATCTCGGAGCGCTGTCGCGGTACTTTGATGCCACATGTGACAGTCACGTGGCGTCGGCGCAGCATCAATCCGGACAAGATTTCTAACCAGAATGCACTGCTTTAAGACAGACTTCGATCGATCTGCGCAGCGCTGCATGAAGTTGAACGCACCTAATGTCTACAGTAATGCTGCACAGGTCGTTCACACATCACAATGAGCAGCACTTCTCACAAAACAGATGCTGTATACACATAAATACTTGTGTATAAATGTTTATTACTAACTTTTCTATAACTTTTCTTTTCTATAAACAGGAATTGATTATAACTGCAGGGCAATGACGGTGCGAAATAGCCTACTGTAACGTCTATAATTATATTAAATAAATAAATAAATGAACATATATGAACACATACAGCCCCTTACAGTCTCCGATATGTTACCAACTACAGAAGAACTACACAAAGCAGACATTTCATCGTTAATTAGGTTCAAAACAACACAAAGTATAGCCTACAGACAGAGTAAACCTCTCATCTGTGTCTGTAATCTTCAGCAGCACATGAAGCCTCTGTTAGAGAGTCATTCCATCATTCCCTGTTTATATTAGTCCAAAAGGTGATAATAAAGATTAAAACAAGGCAGTTTGTTCACGTTTGCTGAAGAAATAACGTGCTCATTGGCTTCGCCTTTTTTCCCACGCTCGCGGGAAAAGCTTGTCAGCTCACAGGATTGGGTTTCCAAAGCTTGTCAATAATCGAGTGCATGTTATTAGTATCAGATCAAGAAGTTTGTTATTTCAGATAGAGACGCGCTGCGAGCGCAAGAAAGAAAGCGAAACCACTCGGGCTACAGACTGGCTCGTTAAAAACTACGCGGCACAGGGTAAATCTGCTGTTCTCCATGGCTTTGTGGCTGTTTATCAAGACGACGACAGGGTTTGCAGGATCGACCATGGCTGCATATGTATATATAATTCCGCTGTAATCTCTCGCTGTGTATTTCAAACATGGCGGGTCCTTTGTTTACATTCTGGCTTGTTGAGTCTACGAATGACGTATCTCTGTAAACCAATAGCGTTCAGCTGCGCGTGTAGCTCCACCTTTTGGGACCCTTTCTGCAGAGAAAGGAAAAAGTGGTACGGTTTGGTTCGGTACGCCTTTTGACAGTGGAAACGGCCATAAAAGCGTACCAAACCAAACCGTACCGTACCACTCAGTGGAAACGGGCCTTAAAAGGAACAAGAGGGACCAAAATCAGTCACTAGGTCTAGTGCCCACCTATCTGATTAAAATGCCCCCTCAGCTATGACATCCTGGCGCGGGGCCTGAATCTTAATCAGAGTATCATCTTAACCATATTAAAATTGGTGTACATGTAAACGTACCGAATATTTAAGCTTTTTGCAATTAATCTACAAACTGCATGCATACCAAAGTGTGGCTCCCGGACAACATTAATCCAGACTTTGAAGAACCATCTATGTGACTATTGCAGATGTGGATGCTGAAACGATATAGTGTGTAAATCTCAGCATGTGTAAATGCGAGCACTTTGTGAAGCTCCACCACAGTCGTACCTTTTGGAGATCGTTCCCCTGGTAAGAGCGTGGTGAACGTGAAAAAAACGTCCCGCAGAGACTCATGAGGATGCAGATGAGCAGCAGCGCAGCACTGACCAGCAGCAGGTGAAACCTACACAAGGCCTTCTCATCCTGGTTCAGCGATAAAGAAGAGAAGTTATCGAGATGTTGGGTTATCTGACTATAGGGACATCAGAGACTTATTTTGTATTTTGTACATCTTGTATAGAGGCATAATAGGTCCCCTTTAAGGTCTGTAAATCCCTCCCGCTTCCATAAGCCAACTCTAGTCTTGACTGGTCATATAAAGCTGCACAGAATCCATCATTATACAGGTTTATTAATGAAATATTAGGAAATATTAAGCTGATTCTGAATGAATGCTTTCTACCTTAGTGAGCAGGACGGTCAGCCGTGGATCTGGTGTGTACTCTAGACTGAAGCATTGTGGGTAATTGTGTTTGTATGATTGTACAGCGACAGCTCTGACAGGTGAAGCTCTCTTTTCTCCGTCCTCCACCGCTGGACATTCTGGAGGAGTCCTGAAACATCAGTCAATCAGTGTGCAGGGTGTTTTTTGTTTATTTCAGATATGATTTGAGATATTGTTAGCATCTCACGGAGTCTGAGGCAGAACGTGGGTCAGGGCAGTGAAATGGACACAGGTCAGGGTTCGAGCATTCGGCGTCCCAGCGGGAGTTTGATTATTGGGAACATCAGTGCGCAAGAGAAGAGAGATGTTGACCGATTCTTTCGCTGCAGCTCCTGTGATGGGAAGGTGTATAATAATGATCACAGACAGCCATTTAAGGAACACCAGCCCAAACACATAATAATTTCACTCATTCCTGTTTGTTTTAAGACATGCAACTTCAAAAAAAACACACAAAAATTTGTTTAAAAGAGGAGATGAAAAAAATAGATACAAACAGATAATCATTTTTTGTTGCACATTTTCATGGTAATTTGGAAATAATCAGGTTAAAATGTGTTTATTTTTTAAATCTGAAAGTCAAACACATTTCTTTAAATTAAATTGTTTATTTAAATAACTGCAAGCAAATGAATTTGTTCTCTAATGGCAGAATTATTAGCGTTAATGGATTATTATCTGAAAAAATACACCTTACAAATACACATTACATCTGACATGAAACAAATATAAGATGAAAAACTAAAATAAATAGAAAAAAGTTTAACTAAAAACAGTCACTTGAATTGATAAAAACTAAAAGATAAACATAAAATAAATAGTTATAAATAAATGTTAAAATATATACAACAAATTTGCGATAAATACATAAAAAAATAAAGATAATTCAAAATATTTCCATGGCAAAATTTAAGTTAAGTAATTTGCTGAAGTTAGTACTCTATTATGAATAAAATATAAGATGAAAAATAAGCAAATAATAAAATAAATAGAATTTTACTGGCAACTAACTGAGGAAAAAGTTTCATTAAGAGCATTAAAATTAATTAGGATAACAAATAAATTAATAAAAACTAAAACTGAAATAAATGTTTATATTTTTTAAAATAAAACAATAAATATAAATAAATAATAATTAAATAAATGGAAATTTAATGGCAACTAACTGAAGAAAAGCATTCAAAACACTAAAATTAATTAAGATAATATATATATAAATAAATAAAAACTAAAACTGAAAAAAAAGTATTATTGTTTATTAAAATAAATATAAATAAATAAATAAAAGATCTTTCAAAATATTTATGAAAACTTCTCTACCATTTTTTTCATTGGAAGATTTAATAATAATAATAATAAAATAAATAGAATTTTACAGGTAACTGAGGGGAAAAAAAGATTTTAATGAAGCTATTAATAAATAGAAACTAGAACTAAAATAAAAATAAACAGTTATACTTTTTTCAATAAATCAAATGTACAAAAATAAATACATAAATACCAAAAAAAAAACATGAAAGTCTAGCAACTTTAGTTTATTTAATTACTTATTTAAATAACTACAAGCTAAATTATTCATATTATTTATAACCCAAAATGCACTCCAAGGCCAAGATGGATGATAATAATAGATTATTATCATTATTATCTGACATAATACAAATATAAGATGAAAACTAAAATAATAAAAAATAAAACACAAAAAAATCACTTGAATTAATAAAAACTAAAAGATAAATAAAAATAAATAGTTATAAATAAATGTAAAAATATATACAACAAATTTGCAATAAATACATAAAAAAATTAAATAAAAGAATTAAAAATATTTCCACTGCAAAATTTAAGTTCAGTAAAATACTGAAATTAGTACTCTAATATGAATTAAATATAAGATTAAAAATAAGCAAATAATAAAATAAATAGAATTTACCTGGAAAATTAACTGAGGAAAAGTTTTATTTGAGCAGTAAAATTAATTAGGATAACATAAATAAATAATCAAAAACTGAAATAACAATATTTATTATTAAAAAAAACAAATACAAAAAAAATACCAAAAATAATAATAAAAGATCATTCAAAATATCTATGAAAATTGCTCTACCATTTTTCCATTGAAAACTGTAATAATAATAAAATTAATAGAAATTCACTGGCAAGTAACTAAAGAAAAGCTTCATTCAAAGCACTAAAATTAATTAAGATAATATAAATAAATAAATTAAAACTAAAATTGAAAAAAAAAATATTATAAAAAACAATAAAAATAAATGAATAAATATAAAAAAATTAAATAAAAGAATCATTTAAAATATTTATGAAAACTGCTATTATTAATGGCTATAAACTACCATTTTTCCATTAGAAAATTTAATAATAATAATAAAATAAATAAGAATTTACTGGCAACTATCCGAGGAAAAACAAAGAATTAGGATTTTAATAAGATATTAATATATAATTCATATAATTACAAAACACATGTACAAAAATAAATACAAAAAAATAAATAAAGATGATTCAAGCAACGACAAAACCTTTCATGCCCAGCTGGCTGCCCATCACTGTGACGCTGATCCCAGCCTCATCCGGGGCGTCCCCAATAAACAACAGCGGCACCAGTAAAGAAACATGAGTGGTCCTGGTGGAGATATTGGCCTGATCTTTATGCTCCACCATCGGAGGAGAATCTTCCTCCAGCGGCAGATCAGAGTCATTCAGATGAGTGCAGAACTTAAACCCTGCAACAGAACCCAGAACCCGGTTCCAGTCCTATGAAACAAGCAGAAATAACGTTAAAGTATACCTGAAATCGAAATTAACCAAATTGATATTGTTTATCGTCCCATGGCTACTTACAGAGCTGATGTCCGGGTTGTTGATGTCGTGATTCTGAGAGTAAAGTCCAACACAGACAAAGGTTATGGAGAGCATCAGAAGACTGAGGAAAAACACCACCGCTGGAGGCTGTCGAGATGCCTGATTTCTCAGGTTAGACACAGGCCTCCATTGACCCATAATGCACCTGGAGTCAAGTCAAATCAACACAGATTTATACAGTGCTTAACACAGCATGGCGGAAAAATAGCTGACAATATTTAATGAATATTTTAAACTCATTTGCAATAGTACATATGTACTAATATAGTATAGTATACTATAGTATATATTCATATTATTTATTAAATTACCAATTAAATTGTCTTTTATTCACATCTATCCTTATCTCAACTCTCACATTAATTTAAAACAGTCATTACACTATAATATTATTTATATTATTTATTGAATTACCCATTAAATTGTATTTTATTAACATCTATCCCTATCCCAACCCTCGTGTTAATGTAAAAACAGTCATTACACTATAATATTATTCATTTTATTTATTAAATTACCCATTAAATTTAATTTTATTAACATCTATCCTTATCCCAACTTTCACATTATTGTAAAAACAGTCATTATACTATAATATTATTCATATTATTTATTGAATTACCCATTAAATTGTATTTTAATAACATCTATCCCTATCCCAACTCTCACAATAATGTAAAACAGTCATTATACTATAATATTATTCATATTATTTATTAAATTACCAATTAAATAGTTTTTTATCAACATCTATCCCAATCCCAAGCCTCATGTTAATGTAAAACAGTCATTATACTATAATATTATTCATATTATTTATTAAATTACCCATTTAATTGTATTTTATCAACATCTATCCCAATCCCAAGCCTCATGTTAATGTAAAACAGTCATTATACTATAATATTATTCATATTATTTATTAAATTACCCATTTAATTGTATTTTATTAACATATATCCCTATCCCAACCCTAAATCTACCCACACAGTAATGTAAAAACATGAATTATTGTTGTACAGTGTCACAAAAATTATGCTATATGGATGTGATGAGAGTATCCGCAGCTGTATCCCTTCTAGGATTTACTGTGCAAATTGAGAGATATGCAAAATTTTATACAAAAAATGTTGCTAGCTCCTGTTTTATGCTTCACATTTTAGCATATGTAGTAGTATGTTTCAGAAAATGAAGTGTATGTAGTATGATAGTGTAGTATTGAGACCGTTTCTAAACTTAACGTTAGAGCTACAAGTATGAACAGTGTAGTGGCCAGTACATTGACACACGAACTACATTTTACAGCCATAAAAGGATAGTATTATCATTAATATTAATGATAAAATAAGGATTTACCTTTAATTACGGTCATTTAATCAGCGCACAGAGACGTGTCACTAACCAGACTGAAGTGCGGTTTGTCGTGTAAATATTTGATACGATTTCAACTTCCCCAAAGGTGAGCTTCCTTCAGGATAGCTACTTTCAAAATAAAGGTCTAATGCTGAAAGCGCAGGAAAGGTTTTAATTAAACTGTGACAATCACTATATTTTGTGCTACATATTTTCAAGAATCTAGTAATTCAAAAAAATTTAAATATCAAATTAAAATATGCACTATGCATTTGTTATTCATTTATGATGCATTAGTAACTTGAAAAGACAAAGCTTTGCAAAAAGGATTTATTCAATTTAAATGCATTACCTATTATTACATATTATTTTGATAATTTTATGTGCAGCTAATCATTTTTAGCTGAAATCGTTTTGTCGCGTTTAGAGATCTTTTATTATGTAACCAGGCAGCGGACGTGCTGTCTGTTGTTTCCTCCACGCACCAGCCTGCCCGCTTCTGCTGCATGAATGACAACGGCTAATAATTAAATTCACGTTTAAATAACACAGTAGGACAAATTCAGTCAATAAAGGTGAGGTTTATGCTTTCTTTTTTATCTAGGCGTCTTATTTGAACACAACACTATGCGTATCTTGCGTTTAAAGCTATCTGCTGTTACTTCAAGAAGCTAATGTTAACCGGATAGCAAAAAGTTAGACAGATCAGCGATGTTTTATTAATATTTATGTAGTTTCATTAATTTTTGTTATTTTTTAAATTCAAAATTTACTTTTGTTTTAAATTTGCTGTATTTAAAATGTATGTTGAGTCACAAATTATAAACAGTTATGAATTACTGCGCTATTTATTACATGCTTCATATGTAAATAAACTAATAAATGTTTATTTGTATTACTTTTGAGTATTTAAGCTATGCAATTGTAGTTTTGTTTCGTACTGTCTATTTTTTATATAGATAGATAGATAGATAGATAGATAAATTGGTTGATAGTTATTTATAGTGCTCAGCATATATAAGTACACTCCTCACAAATCTCTCTTTTAAGTTAATATTACATTTTTAATAGGAAGCTGTACAATATTATATTTGTGCACACACATTAGATTAGTCAGTACTGAAGCCAAATCTGGAGCTTATCTAACAAAATAACTTACGATAACCATCCAAAAACTAGTACAGCCAAACTTATATGTTATAGAAAAATATTGAAAACTAATTTTAAAAAGAGAAATCAAGAGAAGCAAAATAAATTGAAAAATTTAGTTGAAATTTTGTAGGTTGTAATTTATTTTTGCAGTATTTTGCTTGAATTTAATTCTATTATCTTTCAATTTCTAAATATGTTTGTTGACTAAAATATAATTTTAATAATTATATCTTTTTAATAAATCTGTTTGTTTAAATGCACCAAAATACATATGCATATACATTGCATAGAAATGGAGAAAAATATTCATTTTCAAAATGATGTTTAATATACATAAATATAAAATATAATAATGAATTTAAAAATTCGTTTTTTTTATAAATACTTTTTTATTTCAAAAATAATAAACATTTAATTACTAAACAAATTCAACTTGTATATAACAATGTAATTCTTAATATATTGCAATATTTATATTTTCAGTAAATTCATATTTATTTTTGTTTTTGCTGCCGACAACAATAGAAATTTTTTAGAAGAATGTTTAATAAGAATTGTTAAATATAAATGACATAAAATCAGTTTTAGGCTACAAAACATAACAGTAATTAATTCTAATGTTATGTATGTTTTATGATAAAATATTTGTGTTCATAATTACATTACATTTTTACAGTTTAAAGTACAGTAAAAGCTTTCTTTCACCACTTCACCCATCTTATTTTTCAGTTCTTATATTATTATTTATTATTTCTTTCCTCTTTCATATGTCCTAAGGATGTTTTTGTTCTCTACATGTATTTACAAGCCTTAAGGTAGCTAGAAATTGATGCAGAAGTAACTTTACTTGTATTCTGTGCAATGTTATATTATTAATTAAAATTGAGTAAAAGTACAATACAGTAAAAGAACACTAATAAAAACTCGCATGAATAGCTCATCACAGTGTTATTTGATAATGTATACCCATTCTGGTCTCTTGCATGTTCCAGCCATGTCTTCAGATGCTGTGAAGAAGCGAAAGCCGAAGGTCATCCGCAGTGAAGCAGGGACTCCGGAGACCAAACGCGGGAGAGCCGAAAGCGAACAGGTGAGTAACTTGGAGTAGCTGCAGTGCATTGAATATCAGAGCCGCAATCCTTCATCTTGTTTTGTGATAACTCTTATATATCCCTGTGCAGCCGAGTGCAGTCAGTGTACATGTCAAGTTCAGGAAGGTCAGGTTGAGGCAGGTGCAGGTACAATCCAGCATGACGCACTCATTCAGGCTTCAGATATGTGTGTTTGTGTGTGCATACGTGAGTGCGAGCGTGAGTGTGAGCATGCATACGTGATTGGGAGAGTGTGTGCGTACGAGATTGCGAGCGAGTGTGTATGTGAGTGCGAGTAAGTGTGCGTGTGTAAGTCGAGCGTCCGTGCGTATGTGAGCGTACATGAGTGCAAGCGTGTGTGCGAGCGAACGAGTGCGTACGTGAGTGAGTGCGAGTATGCATACGTGAGCGTATGTGCTTACCTGAGCATGAGTGCGTGTGTGCGTGCGAGCGAATGAGTGTGCGTGAGTGCGAGTATGCGTGTGTGCGTGCGAGCGAATGAGTGTGCATGAGTGCGTAAGTGAGTGCGAGTATGCGTGTGTGTGTGCGTGCGAGCGAATGAGTGTGCATGAGTGCGAGTATGCGTGTGTGAGTGTGTGCGTATGTGAATGCAAGTGTGCGTACGTGAGCTCGAGCGTATGTGCGTACCTGAGCATGAGTGCGTGTGTGCGTGCAAGCGAATGAGTGTGCGTGAGTGCGTAAGCGAGTGCGAGTATGCGTGTGTGTGTGCGTGCGAGCGAATGAGTGTGCATGAGTGCGAGTATGCGTGTGTGCGTATGTGAATGCAAGTGTGCGTACGTGAGCTCGAGCGTATGTGCGTACCTGAGCATGAGTGCGTGTGTGCGTGCAAGCGAATGAGTGTGCGTGAGTGCGTAAGTGAGTGCGAGTATGCGTGTGTGCGTGCGAGCGAATGAGTGTGCATGAGTGCGAGTATGTGTGTGTGAGTGTGTGCGCGCGTATGTCAATGCAAGTGTGCGTACGTGAGCTCGTGGGTATGTGCGTACCTGAGCATGAGTGCGTGCGAGCGAATGAGTGTGCGTGAGTGCGTAAGTGAGTGCGAGTATGCGTGTGTGAGATCGTGCGTATGTGAGTGCAAGTGTGCGTACCTGAGCGCGAGCGTACCTGAGTGCGTGCGTGCAAGTGTGAATGCTTGAGTGCGAACGTGCGTACGTGAGCGCGAGCATCCGTATCTGTGTGCGTGCGTACGTGAGTGCGAGCGTGTGTGCGTGAGTGCAAGCGTACATGAGTGCCAGCTTGCGTACGTGAGTGTGTATGTGTGTGCGTATGTGAGTGCGTACGTAAGTGCGTGTGTGCGTACGTGAGTGCGAGCGTGTGTGCGTACGTGAGTGCGAGCATACGAGAGCGTACGTGAGTGTGTAAGAGCGCAAGTGTGTGCGTGCGAGGGTGCGTGTGCGAGCGTGAGTGCGAGCATGCATGAGTGTGAGTGTGAATGAAGGTGTGTGTGGTTCAGGGCTGCACGATACTGGAAAAATATGCCATATTTAATTTCAGATTTATTTATTTAGTGATATTAAAATAAACAGATTTTTTTCAGATCTAATTTATTCTAATTCAGAAAAAAACATTTAGTCTTTAAAACATTTTAAATGAGTGAAAACCTCGGCAGATATTCTGAATCTGATTGGCTGTTGCCATTTTCCTCCCAGTAGTGTTTATCTCTTTTGGCTCCAGCCAATAGCAGAACAGCAACTACTAAGGGAGGCGGGAATAAAGATAGTAAGGTCCCATCTGATTGGTTACATTTAAATAAAGAAACGATGCATTAATTAAATATAACTCATCACTAGGGATGTAACGGTATTGTAAATACCGTCATACCGCAATATTAATTTTTTTCGATATTACCGTAGTCGCATGACTCGGTAAAACTATAGGTCTTCTGAGAAAATTTGCTCAGGCGAATGAAGCGAACGGGAGGTAGCGAAAACTACAATTCCCATCAGCCCAGGCTTGGCCATAATCCCTTGCGGTCTGTTGTTGCTACAGATCCAGTAATGCGGAAATGGAGTGTGCTGATAGAAGCGGGGATAAAAAAGAGCTGGGTGTTGTCGCCGCGCGCGTACTGAATATTGGTGTTGTCGCGCGAGTTCTTATCAGCTGTGTTGTCGCGCGCGTACTGTAAAGTGGGACGGAGGGTGTGTCGCGTCGCGGGGGCACTTTTGATCATTTTGGAAGGGCACTTTCTATCCAAGACTAAAAAGGGCATGTGCACTGCACAGGTTGAGCCCTATGTGTGCACGTGCCTGCAAGTTGGGGAACACGACTAATAACAGTCATGGGGACTGCAGAAACACAGCACACTGTTCAGATTGATGCAGACATGAGACCTCTATCTCACTCATGGTTTGTCCTCTCAAGTGGGGGAAAGACAATGCACAACGTTACCCACTGCTGTCAACCTGGGCCAAGTCACATCTCTCTTGTCCCACAAACCTCAGTCCCAAATGAGAGGGTTTTTTCTGTTGCAGGGGACATTGTAATAACCCAGAGATACCAGCTTTTACCAGATTATATTTATATGATAATTTTCCTTTAAAGCCATCTCTATCCAAGTGAGTGAGTGATTAAATGTTGAATGTGATGAGTTTTCAACAATACTAAATTGAAACTTTATTTTTTTTACATGGTTTAATATTTTTTTTTGTTATGAAAATTGAAGTTCCTGTTTCAAAGCTTACAGATAGATGGCTAATTTGTATGTCATTGACACTTTTGGCACTGTTTTGGAGTATTTTCATAAGTTTTGTTTTTTCCTGTAAATGATTCAATAAATACCGTACCGTGACATTCATACCGAGGTATTACCGTACCGT